ACAGCACAATGCCAGCCTGAATATTTGGTGTCTTGATTGTTGAGGGATTCTGCACATCTGTGTTAACCGTTTTTAAAATTCTCAGTGCAACTATAAAACTAGATGAACTGTACTGATTCGTATGTCCAACAACTATATTCATTAATGCCTTTATTCATCCTTACACTTGATATCTATATGCAGATAACTTAGGTTACACACTAGTGATGCACACTTGGCTAACGCTGTTGGAGCCCACACAGTGACACAGATGATTTTGGAGTCAATTGCCAGAACAACGTGGAACCTCAGCCACAGGGGGTGCAGGGGCATGTTATGTAGGACCTGGAAGAGGAGTTTGGTGTGATGGAGGACTGTTTTAATCACACATCTTCTTTGTAAGCATTCTGTGCTTAGAGCCAGCTCAGTCTCCTGGGGAAGGAGACCATCCTGAACTCACAGGTGCATCCTTACTCTGTCATTTCTGAGAGCCACAGACTCAGATTTAGCAGTGGTGCTTCACTGTGAAAAGGCTTCTTGCTGCATCTTGTCACTCCAATCCTTCTTGAGACGCTGCCCAAGAAATGTAGACTTCATCCCCCTACACGTTCTTATGTCTGTAACTCATCTACAGTGATAGCCCTAATAAAAGTGGGAGAAGTGCTGTGGTCTCTTCAGGGTAGGAGTTAGTATCTTGCAGAAGTGTAGATCACCAACTCTTAATCGTCTTAGACCTCTAGAAATTTGTTAGGTTTATTGAATACTTCAGAGAATATGCAATCATTTAAAGCAATATGTGTCTTAGAAAGGTAAAATCCACTTGTGGATGACTTTGGAATGTCACCCCAGTGTCAATACAATTGGTATATATGCTGCTGCCTAGTTCCCAGGGCTCAACTGGCCAAAGCTGCCTCAGTGACCTTGTGTGCCTAGAGACACACCACTGAAGTAAAAAACCAGTATTGCACTTGGCACCCTCCAGTCTCTAGGGATGCTTTACTGGTTTTATTAAGCTTTTATATGTGGAATCCCAGTGTGCTAGCCTAGTGGCTAAAGTCCCCACCTTACATGCACCAGGATCCCATATGGGCGCTGGTTCAAATCTCGGCAGCCCTGCTTCCCATTCAGCTCCCTGCTTGTGGCCTGGGAAAGCAGTTGAGGATGGCCCAAAGCTTTGGGGCCCTGCACCCGCGTGGGGGACCTGGAAAGAAGTTCCTAGTACCTGGCTTCGGATCGGCGCAGCACTGGCCATTGTGGTCACTTGGGGAGTGAATCATTGGACAGAAGCTTCCTCTCTCCTCTCTGTACACCTGCCTTTCCAATAAAAAATAAATAAATCTTAAACAAATTTAAAAATGTAATCAGACATAAATGAAGAGTTACATGTTATTCCTTAGGATAATTCTGACCAGATATTATTTTATTTCAGAGCTGACAGTGCCCCAGTGTGAGCATTTGGGATGTCTCCATAAGCCAAGGGCCCTGCTCAATTACAGCAGGGTTACTCAAAATTCCTCCTTTTCTACTGGTAAGCCAGAGAATGTGGGCTAACTATTCAGAAAGAAGATAGTGACAGTAAATACAGAATATGAATATTTGATTGTTTCGTATCTTGATCCATTTTTAGCAACTATAATAAAACAGCTGAGACTTAATGTATAACTAACAGAAAAAAGTCAGATCAGTGCACAGCTGCGTCGCTGTTTGTGGGGTTTGTGCTCTGATTCCCAGGTAGTCCCTTGCGGCTGCATTCCCAGAGACTGTATCCCCGCTCATGGGCCATAAAGGTTGAAGGGCATGAGTGTCCCTGTTGTTCTCACTCATGTAAGCCCTGAACTCAATCTTTTTTTTTTTTTTAAGATTTATTTCTTTTTATTGGAAATGCAGATATACAGAGAGGAGGAGAGACAGAGGAAGATCTTTCATCTGACGATTCACTCCCCAAGCAGCCACAACGGCTAGAGCTGAGTTGATCTGAAGCCAGGAGCCAGGAGCTTCTTCCTGGTCTCCCATGCAGGTGCAGGGTCCCAAACCTTTGGGCCATCCTCCACTGCTTTTCCAGGCCACAAGCAGGAAGCTGGATGGGAAGCATGGCTGCCGGGATTGAACTGGTGCTCATATGGGATCCCGGGCATGCAAGGTGAGGATCTTAACCACTATGCTGTCGTGCCAGCTCAAGTCATAATCTAATCACACCATACCTTCAGTCACTTCCATATCTCCTCAATACATTCACCTGGAATTAAGTTGCAACATGACTTTGAGACTGCATACCATCATTCAAACCACAGCAAATGGTGTCTGGATTTAGTAGCACATTGTCCTAGGTTATTAAAGCAAGAAAATGATGACATTGTAGAGGAGAATTGGTCTAGCAGAGATGCTCAAGGATAGTAAATATATTGAGGGAGAAAGAAGCTGGCTGCCGAAAAATCAGGTTTCATTGTGTAAGTTCCATCACCCAGCAGTTATTTTGAGAACAAAGAGGGAGGATTACTGGAGGAGTGGTGGGCTCTTACTCCATCTTGTTATTCCAAAATGAGTTAAATGGCTGTTCAGAATGAGATTGCCTATGCAAAATCACCCAGAAAGGAAATGGCAGGAGGTTTAAAAGAACTGATGACGCAGGGTTGAGTCTCACACAGCCAGTATGTCACGCTGCCACCTTTGATAGGAGGAACTGGATCTTTCACCAACACATCCACGCCATTGTCAATTTCAAGGACCCTCCGCAGATTTCTTTTGGGCTTGGATATGGACACCAGATCCCCTGGAATCTTCTGCGATTTTACTTGACTTTGCTTTCCTACTTGAGAATAAATATTTTTTATTCAATAGCCCAAGTCTGATTATAGCATTCTTCCAAAACTCACAGTGGAGGTCAGGACAACTTGAGGGGCTTATGCCGAGATACCCCCATACCATGCTACCCTAATCCGAGCTCTGAGACCAGGCTTCCCCATAATGGTGTCAAACATCTGATGTGAAATTAGAGGCTTGGTGAAGATGTTAGCTACTCTACCTTGACTTAGAAACTGTCCTTCTGGCTTTGTTTTATGTGATTGTAGCATGGCATATGGCCATCTTTGGGGTGAGGAGGTAATGTCTTAAATGAAACTGCTAGCGGTCGTGCTATATGTTTTGGGAGTCTTTGTGACATTCTACCATCTTTGGGATTCCCCGCTTGAAAAATAGACAAATGGTGTAAGAGTTTCAGCTTATCCCTAAAAGCAAACTTCCCTGCTTCCATTGAAAAGACATGAGTCAGCTTCTTCTCAAGTTATATCACTAAAGTAAACTAGGTTAATTGTATTCGGGTCTAAATTTTCCTCTCAACCATGCATGCTAAATTTGCATAGAAATTTATCCAGGTAAACCAATGACAATGGAGTATAGGTTTGGGAGGAGACCAGGTCTGGGCCCAATGTGATGGCTAGGTAGCTAAATCCTCGCTTTGAATGCACTGGGATCCCATATGGGTGATGGTTCATATCCTGGCTGTTCCACTTCCCATCCAGCTCCCTGCTTATGGCCTGGAAAAGCAATAGAGGATGGCTGAAAAGCCTTGGGACCATGCACCCATGCGGAGACCTGGAAGAAGTTCCTGGCTCGTTGCTTTGGATCAGCTGAGCTCTAGCCATTGCGGCCATTCAGGGAGTGAACCAGTGGATGGAAGATCTTTCTGTCTCTCCTCTTTATAAATCTGATTTTCCTTTCCAATAAAAGTAAATAATAAAGAAGAGACCATGTCTACATGATTTCAGTGGCTAAATCCTTACCTTGCACACACCAGGACCTCTAATGCTGCTGGTTCATGTCCTGGCTGCTTCCGTTCCCATCCAGCTCCCTGCCTGTGGCCTGGGAAAGCAGTCAAGGATGGCCCAAAGCTTTGGACCCTGCACCCACATGGGAGTCCCGGAAGAAGCTCCTGGCTCCTGGCTTCGGATCAACTCAGCTCTAGCCATTGCAGCCGCTTGGGGAATAAACCATCGGATGGAAGATCTTCCTCTCTGTTTTTCCTCCTCTGTATATCCGTCTTTCCAATAAAAATTAAAAAACAAAAAAATTTTTTTAAATACTGAGACCGTACTTGCTTGGAATGTCCACATCAGGTATCAGAGTTCTGGTTGGAGTCCCAGAGGCTACAGTTATCCGTTAATGCACCTGGGAAAGCAACAGATGGTGACTCAAGTTCTGGGGCCCCGGGCCACTCACACAGGGTCCTGAACATAGTTCTAGGCTCCTGGCTTGGGTCTGGCCCTGCCTCAGCCGCTGTGAGACCATTTATACAGTGTATCAGCAGATAGAGGATGTTTTTCTTCCTCTCTGTAGCTTCGTCTTTCCAAATAAATTAGGAAATGATAGCTATGTAAAAAGGTCAAGTTTAAATTCGGATGCATATTTGCCTTGGACGTTACAAAAATTGTGTGCTGTGGTATATATGCACAAGTTTGGAAGCACATTGAAAAAGAAAACGCTGTCATGTGTGCTTTATTGGAGTGATGTGATTATGGGGTTCAAGAGCCTTACTTTTAGAAATTGTATGTATTGGAAAGGCCGGGTTACAGGAGTTATTTTCCACTCCCCAAAGGGCTCCAGGACCCAGAAGTCTGTCTGGGTCTCAGGCGTGCGCAGTCCCAAGCACATTAACCATCCTCCACTGCTCTTCCCAGGCCAGGAGCAGGGAGCTGCATTGGGGTGGGGCCGTCCTAACGGCCGTCCACTGGCTTCTTGTTTTTTTGCAAGTCGTGCTAATCGTGGAAACGCACCAAATGAGTCTAAGACGACGTTGTGTAAAGCTGTATTGCCCACACACACTTAATCTAAGACGCGGCGGGTTAAAAACAAGCAGGGATGGCGTGAGGCCTGCACGTCCCCCTTGCCCGGTTCCGCAATGCCCAGGCAGCCGCCGCCCAAGTCAACGCAAAACACCGAGCGGACACGCGCGACAGGCCGCGGCGCAGCTTGGTGACGTTTCCCGGCCGGTCGGCGCCAACGTCATTTTCGTGCATCGCCGCTTCCCGTCGGCGTGAGTGGACTATCGGGGTCCGCGCGTGGTGCTGTGCGTTCTTCCACGGTCGCCCTCCCACTCCAGGACCATGGCCACCGATTCCTGGGCCCTGGCGGTGGACGAGCAGGAAGCGGCTGTCAAGTCGGTGAGTGGCTGCAGCTCCGCGGAGGCAGAGCATCGGGGCCCCGAGCGGACCCTGCCTGGGGTGCAGAGAGCCCCGGGGGCAGCTGCACCCCGAGCTCGCCCTGCTGTGCTCGGTGCCGGGTCTGTGCGCTGCAGCTTCTCTCCGGTGCACGACTGTCAGGAATGGCAGAGGAAGAGGCTGTGTGCGAGTCCTACTTCGGGTTCACTGTTCCCCAGATCCTTGCTTACTGTGATTGGCACTTTGTAACTCTTCTTAGAGTAACAGAATCAGATTTAATGTTTCAATCTACTGTAGATTTGTGGGGAGGGAGGACATTACACATTGTTTCCCTTGTTTCAAGTGACATATAGTTTCATATACTGGTTTTCTGATTTATGACGCTCCAGTTAATTATTGCTGCAAAGAGTGGGTTTCTGTTCTTAACAGCTAGGATACAAGTTTGAGGTTTGTTTAGTGATAATGAACTAGTAGTTTTAAGAATATAAGGGTTTTTAACTTGTAGTCACAAGTCACATAACTTGTTTAATTGTACCTATATTGGAGGTTCAATGTGATATCTCAGAAGTATATGTCACATATCCTAACCAAATCAAAGTAACTAACCTATCCTTCTCCTTGTCGTTGCTTGATGTTTGGAGCCTCCAGAGAACCAAAGTACAGGTTACTACAGTCTCCCCTTTGTATGATCTTCTTGATGTTTAAATTACATTTCCTCTCCAGCTGCTCTTTCTTGCTTTGGAAGGATTTCAGCTTATCAGCAGATAATCTGAGGTGAACAAAATCAGTGGAGCGCAGCAGTCAGCTTTATGGTTTGGTTAGAAAGGTGCAGGCAGGGAAAGTGAAAGAATTCTTAGCACAGAGCACATTTATGGCTAGGAATTCTGGGGTATTTCTATTTTTTATTTTGCCTTTTTTTAAGATTTACTTTTATTGGAAAGTCAGATATAAAGAGAGGAAGAACTTCCGTCCATCTATTCATTCTCCAAGTGGCTGCAAAGGCTGGAGCTGAGCCAATCTGAAGCCAGGAGCCTCTTCCAGGTCTCGCACGCAAGTGCAGGGTCCCAAGGCTTTGGGCCCTCCTGGACTGCTTTCCCAGGCCACAAGCAGGGAGCTGGATGGGAAGTGGGGCTGCTGGGACACGAACTGGCGCCCAAATGAGATCTCGGTGCATGTGAGGCAAGGATTTTAGCTACTCGGCTACTGTGTTGGGCCCTCTTTTTTTATTTTTAAGATTTTATTTCTTCAAAAAAGCACAGTGACAAGGAGATGCAGAGACCTTCCTTGTACTGGTTTGCTCCCTAAATGACCACAACATTTGGGATTGGGCCCGACTGAAGCTATGAATTCCAACCAGGTCTCCCGAGTGGGAGGCAGGGGCCCAAGTAACTTGAGCCATCTTCTGCTGTGACCTGGGGTGCATTAACAGGGAACTGGACCTGAAGCAGAACAGCTGGGACTTGAACTCTGATACAGGGTTCCAGTACACTCAGGAGCTTAACCTGCTGTGGCCCAGTGCCCACCCCTCTAGGTATCTCTTGTAAAATTTACATTTGAACAAGGTATTAGAGAACGAGTCGTATGTAGGATAGAGGCAGAGGTGAATGGCATCTTAGAAGAGTACACTTTTGTGTGGGACTTACTTACAGAACCAGGAATCAGAACTCACGTTATGCTTTAGGTGGAGTTATTAGATTGGAATAGTAGCAATTTCTAAAACAGCACAGGGCATGTTTTGGATCCTAGCTGAAAATTGAGACAGCAGCAGCTCTATTGGGTAGCCTTAGACAGCGTGTGTGTGTGTTTAGAACAGGATGCTGTCAGCAGCAGATCCTGTGCTGGATTGTAGAGAGCAGGATGGTGTTAGAAGGATTGATGCCTGAGCGGAGGAGAGCTCTATGGAAGTGATTCTGGTGTCCCACACATGAAGGGTCTGTTGGGCAGCAGAAGTGAGGAATGATAATAGGGAGGAAAAAGAAAGAGTGGAGATAGAGTCGAAGAGCAGTGTTTTCAGCCTGGACCCCACAGTTGTTACTGAAGTGCCAGCATCAGGAACAGTGGGAGCAAGCGCAGATTCAGTATAGTGCCTTCCCGGGGCTAGGAGGCCTCTTGGTAAGCACCTGTGTTAGGGGGGCACAAGAGAGATCCAGGTTTGATGATTTGCTAGGACACATGGGACAGGCATATGACTTATTACAGTGAAAAGATATAAAGCAGAATTTGCAGAGGGAAAAGATTCATGCAGCTAATTCCGGAGAAAACCTGGCTTGAGCGCAAAGAGCCCTCTCCCAGCAGATCCTCAGGACGTCTTTCCTCCGGCACCATATATATGAGGTGGTGGTGTTAGGGAAACTTAGTATAGACTCATTCAAGGTTTTTTTTTTTTTTTTAAGATTTATTTTATTGCAAAGTGGCATATACAGAGAGGAGGAGAGATAGAGAGCAAGATCTTCCATTTGATGATTCCCTCCCCAAGTGACTGCAGCGGTTGGTGCTGTGCAAATCCGAAGCCAAGAGCCAGGAACTTCTTCCAGGTCTCCCACACGGGTACAGAGTCCCAAGGCTTTGGGCCATCCTCAACTGCTTTCCCAGGCCACAAGCAGAGAGCTGGATGGAAAGTGGAGCTGCTGGGATTAGAACCAGTGCCCATATGGGATCCCAGCAACTGCAAGGAGAGGACTTTAGCCGCTAGGCCTCCACGTCGGGCCCTCATTCAGGGTTCTTATCAGCAGCCTTTCACATAGTCATTCTGTCTAAAATGTACGAGATTTCCAAATTATGCATGTATTTCATAGTGTGTGTTTTTATGAACTTTTAAGACCTATTATATGCATGGATTTAAAATATTTTGGCTGCGGGACTAGCATTGTGCTAAAGCAAGTAAAGCTACTGCCCGTGATGCTAGCATCCCATATTAATGCTAGTTCGTGTCTTGGCTTCTCCACTTCCAATCCAGCTGGCTACTCATGTGCCTGAAGAAGCACTGGAGAATGGCCCAAGCACTTGGTGCCCTGTATCAGCTTCAGAGACCTGAAAGAAACTCAGGCCTGACTCAGTCTTCCAGTTGTTGGTAGCCATTAGGGGAGTGAACCAGCAGATAGAAGATTTTTCTCCAATTCTACCTTTCAAATGAATAAAAACATCTTAAAAAAAAATAAAAAGTATCTTCTTGCTGCAAAACATATACTTTGATTCATTTTTCCATAACATTTTCAGTAGTTTGTATGTCTGCTTATTTTATTTATTTGAAAGGCAGAGCAACACAAAGAAATTTTCTGTCTGCTGATTCCTCCCCCATATGCCTGCAGTAACCAGGACTGGGCTAAATGAAGCCAAGGGGCTGGAACTCAGGCTTGGGCTCCCTACGTGAATGGCAGGGACCCAGGGATTGGATTTACCACCTGCCTTATAGGCAGGAAGCCAGTGAGGAAAACGACGAGGCAGGACTCGAGTGCCAGCACTCTTATTTGGCGTGCAGGAGAACCAGGCGGTGGCTTAGCATGCTGCCTCTCGAGGGCTGCTTTCTGGGACCAACATTTCCTTTTCTTTCTTTTTTTTTTTTTAAGATTTACTTATTTTTTATTGAAAAAATCAGATTTACAGAAAGAAGGACAGACAGAGAGGGAGAGTGTCCATCCACCGGTTCTCTCCCCAAGTGGCACAACGGCCAGAGCTGAGCCAATCCGAAGCCAGGAGCTTCTTCTGGCTCTCCCACGTGGGTGCAGGGTCCCAAGGTTTTAGGCCATCCTTGACTGCTTTCCCAGGCCACAGGCAGGGAGCTGGAAGGGAAGTGGAGCAGTTGGGATAGAAACTGGCACCCATATGGGATCCTGGTGCGTCGAAGGTAAGGAATTTAGCCACTAGGCTACCACACCGGGCCCAAAGTTCTTTTTAATTTAATTAATTTTAAAAAAAGTTTCGTTTACTTAAGGCAGAGAGACTGCCTTCTTACTAGACTTTGGCAAAGGAGCTTATATTGAGTCATTTGCTTAACTGTTTTCTTATTCCTCTTCAGATAAGCAATTTGCAGATCAAGGAAGAGAAAGTCAAACCAGAATCCAATGGTGAGTTGCTAGTAACTGCAGTGGAGCATTCCGTGCCTCCTTCGGCAAATGACAGCACTGGATTCAAAAGCCAATAAATAGGCTTCCTTATGCCCAATGTCTACGTTCACTATTATATGATGCTGCTGTGGGCCTGTGTCCAATTTCCCCATTTTATAAAAGGGCTAGTGTTGCAGTGCAGTGGGTTAAGCTGCCACTTGTGATGTTGGCAACTCATATCAGAGCGCCTATTTGAGTCCTGACAACTGTGCTGATCCACCTCCTCTGCTCTTATTCCTGGGGAATGCAGCTGGCGATAACCCAGCTGCTTGGGCCTGTGCTCTCCATGTGGGAGAGCCAGATGGAGTTCTTGGCTCCTGGCTTCAGCCCAACCTAACCCTGTCTCTTACAGCCATTGTGGGAGTGTGTGAGCCAGTAAATGGAGGATCGCTTTCCCTGGCATTATTCTTATTGCTTTATTTTATTAATTTATGAATTGTATCTGCAATGGCATATCAAAATGAGGTATCTCCTTTTCTTGTATCTCCTTTCTGTAAGTCTGCCTTTCCAATAACAATAAAATAATTTTTAATATCCTAAGGTACTAGGGATTGATATATGAACATTGGAATTTGTGAGGATACAGCTTAAGCCCTAACACTATACTATGCTATAAGCAACCACTACTACTCAGTCTTTGCTGTCCTCCCAGCTCCATTATGCACAGCAAATATAGAATAGCATCTCTTTTTCTTTTATGTGAAAAAATGTTTTTAATCTACTTTGAGTACTACTTTTTGTATGTTGTCAGCAAGAGACCAGTTTCAATTTAGAATAGCATCTCTTGTTCACTGTGTCCCTTCCTCCCTCTGCCCTTTTTTGCTATTCCCCAGCACGAGGATCCATGAAATACATGGTATCCTTAGCCTACTATTTTTTGTAAATATTTGTTTATTTTTGGGCCAGGTACAATGAATGGCTCAATGTCTAAATTCTTGCCTTGCATGCACTGGCATCCCATATGGGCACTGGTTTGTGTGCCAGCTGCTCCACATCCCATCCAGCTGGGAAAGCAAGCGAGGATGACCCTAAGCCTTGGGATCCAGTACCTGCGTGGGAGACCTGGGGAAGAAACCCCTGGCTTTGGATCAACTCAGCTCTGGCTGGTGTGGCCACTTTGGGAATGAACTAGTAGGTGAAAGATCTTTGTATCTCCTTTCTGTAAGCCTGCCTTTCCAAGAACAATAAAATAATTTTTAATACTTTATTATTATTATTATTATTATTATTATACAGTTTTATAGACTCTGGGATTTCCTTTTCCCCCTCCTCAAATTCCCTCTCTGACCCCACTGAGTTCCCCTATATTATTAGTGTAGTATAGTTCTTCATAAACAGTTATATGTCCATTATTGCTGGCATGGATAATGGCAGAGAGTCCAGCTTCCTATTGTCAAGATATAGTTAACAGGGCCCGGCGCAGTGGCCTACTGGCTAAAGTCCTCGCCTTGAACGCCCTGGGATCCAGTAAGGGCACTGGTTCTAATCCCGGCCACCCTGCTTCCCATCTAGCTCCCTGCTTGTGACCTGGGAAAGCAGTTGGGGACAGCTTAAAGCCTTGGGACCCTGCACCTGTGTGGGAGACCTAGAAGAAGTTCCTGGATCCTAGCTTTGGATCAGCACAGTACCAGCTGTTGCGGTCACCTGGGGTGTGTATCATCGGATGGCAGATCTTCCTCTGTTTCTCCTCCTCTCTGTACATCTGACTTTGCAATAAAAATAAAATTTTAAAATCTAAAAAAAAAAAAAAGATATAGTTAACAGTTTAATTGGGAGTCCATCTTTGATCTGGAAGTAGAGATGCATACTGCATTATATCCTCACATCTGGATTTGATATTCTCCATTACACAGTTACTATACATCCCCTTAAATGAAAGTCACATAACAAAATCAACAACAGTAAGAAATTAAAAACGCCATGAAGTTAAACAAAATGTTACTGGATGACTAATGTGTCACTGAAGAAATGAAAAAGCAAATCAAGAACCTTCTTGAAGAAAATATGCTACTGTATGATCTATGAGTCTTTGAAGAATTTAATCAGAAGAAACTGCTCTGAAGAGATGAAACTAACAAAAACAAAAAAATCAAAATCCATGAGAGACAGCTTCCGCTGACTTGTTGGTGAAATGCGTCTCCTGTAGGCAAAAAAGAGATGGGTATTGTTTTTTTTAATCCAGTCTACTAATTTGACATTTGATTGATGAGTTTAATCTGATTACATTCAGGATTAATATTAATGGGTCGAATGAGCTAACGGATGAAAGATCTTTATCTCCTTTCTTTCAGTCTGCCTTTCCAATAACAATAAAATAATTTTTTTAAAGACTTACTTATTTTTATTGAAAGTCAGAGATATACAGAGAGGAGGAGAGATAGAGAGGAAGATCCATCCGCTGATTCACTCCCTACGTGGCCACAACGGCTGGTGCTGCACCGATCTGAAGCCAGGAGCCAATAACTTCTTCCAGGTCTCCCACATGGATGCAGGGTCCCAAAGCTGTGGGTCATCCTCGACTGCTTTCCCAGGCCACAAGCAGGGAGCTGGATGAGAAGCAGGACTGCCGGGATTAGAACTGGTCCCCATATGGGATCCTGGCACGTTCAGGGTGAGGACTTAAACCACTATGCTATCACGCCGGGCGCAAACAATTTTTTACAAAAAGATTTTGTCAAATTTTTATTGGAATGTCAGATACAGAGAGGAGGAGAGAGAGGAAGATCCTTTGTCCGTTGATTTATTTCCCATGCGGCCGCAAAGGCTAGAGCTACACTGATTTGAATCCAGGAGCCATGGGCCTAATAAAATCATTAAAAAAAAAAATGTTTACTGATACTGGAAAGGCAATTTTACAAAGAGTAGGAGAGAGAAAGAGAGCTCCTGCAACTGCTGCCTCACTCTCCAAATGGCTGCGATGGCCAGCGTTGAGCCAATCTGAAGACAGGAGCCAGGAGCTTCCTCCGTCACTTAACGTGGGTACAAGGTCCCAAGGACCTGAGGCATCCTCTGCTGCTTTCCCAGGCCATAAACAGAGAGGTGGATTAGAAGTAGAAGTAGAGCAGCCAGAACTTGAACAGGATCTTATATGGGATGCTGGGACCACAGAAGGAAGATCACCCTGTTATGCAGTAAGTTTTGACAAGCTTTTCATGTCAGTACATCGAGTATCTTCACACTCTTTTTTTTAAGATTTATTTTATTTTTATTGGAATGGCAGATATACAGAGAGGAGGAGAGACAGAGAGGAAGATCTTCCATCCGAAGATTCACTCTCCAAGTGAGCACAACAGCCGATGCTATGCCAATGCGAAGCCAGGATCCAGGAACTTTCTTCCAAGTATCCCACATGGTGCAGGGTCCCAAGGCTTTGGGCCGTCCTCAACTGCTTTTCCTAGGCCACAAGCAGGGAGCTGGATGGGAAGTGGAGCTGCCGGGATTAGAACCGGCGCCCATATGGGATCCCGGCGTGTTCAAGGTAAGGACTTTAGCCGCTAGGCCACACCGCCGGGCCCCCAGGCAGCATCTTAATCGCCATGCCAGACACTCACCCCTAGTGCTGTAGTTTAAAGTAGGGTAAGTCAGAAGTGACCTGTTCTCACCACTCTGATGCTTTTTAAACTTTGTAAGAATGAAAATTTTTCTGATGCACTTAAACGTCCTTGAAATATGTTAAAACATGAATGTTAATAATTTAAAAAGATAAACATGTTTAAAATATGTTAAAACATGAATAATCATTCTATTCTGATCAGTATAACAGATTTTGTTGTTCTGTTCTTTCCTTCCTTTTAGGTTAATTTAATGTTTATGTTTCTAATTATGGTATCTGTTTTCCTGTGTAGGTGTTATCAAAACCAGCAACCCAGCAGAGAAAACAGATGAAGAAGAGAAAGGTAACCATTCTTTTAAAGATGTATGCCAAAGCTCTGCCTTCAGACCAGAGACGGTCTTCCCAAGAAACTGTTGAATTTATCTGGACAGTAAGATGCTGGATGCATCACTATGCCAAGTACATGCTTGCAATGAAAGAATTATGACTGGATTTGAACTGTAATACTGCAGTAAGGTAGAGGAATCCACCATGGGGGGAGGGTACAGGGTGGGATTGGGGGAATCCCAGAGCCTATGAAACTGTCATAAAATCAAGTATAACTAAAAAAAAAAAGATGTACTGCGAGATGCTAGGTAGGAGCCTGGCCTTGGTTCATGGAGCAAGAGGGGCTCTGAATTGTAAGACCAGGGAGGTGTGAGTGACTCGGCCAAGCACATTGAGAAGTAGCAGTTTCTAGCCGGGGCGGGGGTGGCAAAAGAGTGTGTGTCACAGAAGCCGGGAGGCAGTGTTAAGAAGCCGGGCGTGCCAGTTAGGTGAAAAGTTGATAAAGGGAAGGATTAAAATTAGAAATTGATCATTGTGGGCATCATGGTTAAGATTGACCGGACCTATTGAGGTCATGTCAGATTTAAAAAAATAAGAAATGCTAGTCCCTGTGCTTCAAACACAAGGGGGTTGTAGGGGTGAACTTAGACTAAATTTTAGAGAATGTTCCACAAAGGGACTAGTGTGACACAAAGGAGGAAGTAGATTGACACGCTGGTAGGAATGACCACCAGGAAGGGAACTGTGGGTAGGAAGGGACAGAACACATCAGGTAAGCACACTGAGCGTTGAGAGCACAGGTTGTTCGTCCTAATCACGGGAGGGAAGATGAGGATACAGGTACAGGTGCTTGTGGTCGTGAGTGAGAACGTGGAGAGGTTAGAAATTGAGAACAAAACACGTGGGTCATGGAAACAGTGGCTTGCTGTGCAGAGCAGCCTGTTTGAATCTAGTCAGGAACTACAAGTGAGACCCATTTGTGTGCTCGTGTCTCCGTGTTTGGCTGATGCACAGCTACTAGTGCACAGAAGAGGAGGGACTGGTTTCACAAGTGCGGGGTGTGCAGATGAGTGTGAAAACATTTCTTGCCTCCTCCTAACAGAGGACAAAGCTGCCCAGTCCTTGCTCAACAAGCTGATCAGAAGCAACCTCGTGGATAACACAAACCAAGTGGAAGTCCTGCAGCGGGACCCCAGCTCCCCGCTGTACTCAGTGAAGTCCTTTGAGGAGCTCCGGCTGTGAGTGTGCACTCCTTCCCACGCTCTTCCTTGCCAGCCCTCCCTCTGTCATGCCGCAGCAGAGAGATGTCCTCCGGGGATTCTTTTGTTTACCTTGGAATTTCAAAAAATGTTCATGTCTTTTCTTCTTTGAATAGGTAACAAGTCACATGATTGAGAAGTCATAAAGGATAAAAAGTTTGCCTCATAGACTCCCACCCTTGTCTTAGGGCCTCCAGGTTCTCAGGGCAGGGATTTTAAGTGCCACGGATTGATTCATCATAGCTGGAAGTCTTTTCTCTTTTATACTCTTAGAACTTTCAATAAAATATTGGCTGACAGGTGATTTCTGGATGTCAGGAACATTTAGTTAGGTAAGCCCTTTCATTAGGGTTGACAGTCTTAGGAACATTTTACCTGCTTTTCTTGAGTCTGTCTAATGCCTGCGGCATTGTGCTCAGTGTGGCTTTTCATGGCATTATTTTAAAGGTGGTGAATTGTAAAAGGCCGTAACACATGTTTTGTTTTGTTTTCTACTTTAAGTTACATATTTATAGACCCTTGGTTTACATACTTTAGCACTATACGAATTGTTAAGAGGAGCACAAAGTGTCACTACAGTTCTTGGTGCCTGCAAGAACACAATACGCATCCTAAACAGGAAAGAGCTGGTGGTAGCCCGTGCTGTTGCAGAGCCTCATATCACCAGCATCCCATATCAGAGCGTCAGCTCAAGTCCCGGGTGCTCTGTCTCTGATTCCCACTTCCTGCTAATGTGCCTGGGAAGCCGGCAGAAGATGGTCCAAGTATTTGAGTCCCTGTCATCCATGTGAGAGTCCTCGTTGAAGCTCCTGACTCCTGGCTTTGGCCCAGCCCAACCTTGGCTGGCAATCTGGGGAATGAGACAGTGGATAGAAATTCTCTTTCTTTCTTATTCTCTCTGTGTAACTATGCCTTTCATACAAATAAAAATAACTATTTTAAGGTTATTTTGGTGCAACAGTTTTAAGTTTTGATGCATATATTTTTCTTATTTGAGAGGCAGGTTTACAGACAGCAGAGAGAGAAAGATCTTTCATCTACTGGTTCATTCCCCAAATAGCCACAACAGCCAGATTTAAGCCAGTCTGAAATCAGGAGCCAGGAGCTTCTTCCAGATCTCCAACATAGGTGCAGGAGCCAAGGCCTTGAGCTATCCTCCACTACTTTCTCATGCCTTAAGTAGGGAGCTGGATAGGAAGTGGAGCAGACAAGACTTGAATTGGCATTCATGTGGATGCTGGCACTACAGGCAGAGAATTAAGCCACCATTCTTTCCACAAAGCAATTTTTTTAAAGGACTCTAATTGTTAATGAAGTAGTGGTGAAAAGCAAGTTCTTAAGTGCAGGCACTTAGCTTAGTGGTTAAGACACCTTGCCTGAGATCAAGTACCAGCTCCATTCCTGAGTCTAACTGTATTAATAAATGGGCACTGTGAGTGGGCTCAGTGATGGATCAGGTGGCTGAGTTCCTGGCACCCAGTTTCAGCTTGTCTAAGCTCCAGATTGTAGGTAATTAGAGAGGAAACCATCAGGTCGGAGTTCTTTAGTTCTCTGTGTCTTGTAGACAAAAATAAGTAAATTTTAGAAAAAGTGTATTTTTTAACCTTTTAAGCGTTTAGGGGAAGTTTCTTTTTTTTTTTTTTAAGATTTATTTTTTCACTTGAAAAGGAAATTTGCAGAGACAAGAAGAGACAGAGAAAGAAAGATCTTCTGTCCACTGGATTCATTCCCCAAATGACCACAATGGCTAGAGCTGAGCTCATCTGAAGCCAGGAGCCTCCTCTGGGTTGACCACATGGGTGCAGGGACCCAAGGACCTGGGCCATATCATCCACTACTTTCCCATGCCACAAGGAAGTAACTGGATTGAAATTGGAGCAGCCAGGACACAAACCTGTACCCATAAGGGGTACTGATGCTTGTAGGTAGAGGATTAATCTGTTGAACTATACCACCAGCCTGAAGTTGTACTTTTTAATGCATATTTCCTTTGTCAGGGGTTTTATTCTATAAATCTGTTATTTCTCCTTCTGGTTGTTTCTTTTTAAAAATTTACTTATTGATCTTGGAAAGTCAGATTTACAGAGAAAAGATCTTCTGTCTGCTGGTTCACTCCCCAAATGGCTGCAGTGGCCAGAACTGAGTTGATCCTAAAGCCAGGAGCCAGGAGCCAGGAGCTTCTTCTGGGTCTCCCACATAGGTGCAGGGTCCCAAGGAGTTGGGCCATACTCTACTGCTTTCCCAGGCCACAAGCAGGGAGCTAGATGGGAAGTGGGGACTCCAGATTTAGAACTGGCCCCCATATGGAATTCTGGCACATGCAAGGCAAGGACTTTAGCCATTAGGCTACCATGCATTGCCCTGGCTGTTCCACTTCTAATCTAGCTTCCTGCTAATGTGCCTAGGAAAGCAATGAAAGATGGCCAAAGTCCTTGGACCCCTGAACCCATGAGGGAGAACTGAAAGAAGCTCTGGCTTCTTAATATATATTTTTTAAAGATTTATTTTATTTTTATTGGAAAGGTGGATATACAGAGAGGAGGAGAGACAGAGAGGAAGATCTTCCGTCCAATGGTTCACTTCCTAGCGGCTGCAACGGCTGGAACTGAGCCAATCTGAAGCCAGGAGCCAAGAGCTCTTCCGGGTCTCCCACACGGGTGCAGGGTCCCAAGGCTTTGGGCCGTCCTCCACTGCTTTCCCAGGCCACAAGCAGGGAGCTGGATGGGAAGTGGGGCTGCCGGGATTAGAACTGGCACCCATATGTGATCCCGGCACGTGCAAGGCAAGGACTTTAACCGCTACACTATCGCGCCGGGCCCTGGCTTCTTGATTTGACTTCTTGAGAAACAATCTAGTATGATTTTTGTTAAACATAATGTAAATTTAACACTAGCGGAGAACTTAATTTACGTGCAGTGTATCAACAAGTTCAATTTATTATTTGCTATGCAGCTGAGCTATTTAATTAAGAAATTAGCACATTCTTAGTCTTGATTGTGACCAACATAAACTAAGCATTTTAAATAAGTTCAGGATGATAGTCCGTCTACCCTTACCTGTTTACTGTACATTAGCTGCTGGAACCAGACTTGATTGATTTGCATGCCTTGATTGTCTTGAGCATTTGCACAACTGACTTTGGAAGGACCATGGACTATGGCTCAGTTTATTTGCGCACTGCAAAATTAAAACTGAAATTCTCAGGTGGGCATTGTGGCACACTAGGTTATGCCACCACTTGGAACACTGCATTACATGTTGGAGTGCCTATTTGAGTCTGGTTATTCCACACTTCTGATCCAGCTTTCAGTACATGCACCTGGAAGGAGCAGATGACATCGCAAGTACTTGGGTTTCTGCCATCCATACAGGAGAACTGGATCGAGCTCCTGGCTTCCGCCTGGCTTCATATTTGTTGGGGAGTGAACCAATAGATGGATGGAAGAAACAAACCTAAAATTCTGTTCTTGAACTTTCATGTATTAGCAGAAGAAAAGACGGTGGTTTTGTTTTTAAGATGTGGGAGATTTCATTCTGTGTTAGATGTAGATTGTGGACCTTTAAAACAATTAATCCATCTCTCTCTCTCTCTGTCTCTCTGACCTGCTAGGAAACCACAACTTCTCCAAGGAGTCTATGCTATGGGTTTCAATCGACCATCCAAGATCCAAGAGAACGCATTACCTATGATGCTTGCTGAACCGTGAGTATTCAGACCTAAATTTCCTTCTTCCAGGTTTGGTCTAATTGAAGTCTTTCAAAAATAGCTGTTAGTGTTCCTGAACACAACATTGACCATTTGGAGCGACATGTTTCTTCGGAGAAACAGGTTTGGCGAGTACAGAGAAAATCACATAGAACAGTTTCTGCTTTTCCTACTTAATAGTATCCATAGACACAGTGTTTTACTCTGTGCAACTTTTAAATTTGCAATTTTAAAAATCAGTCCTTAAGACTTTTGAAGAGAGTATGCATCTCTACTTCCAGATCAAAGATGGACTACTAATGAAACTATTAGCTGTACATTGACAATGGGAGGCTGGACTGTGCCATTGTCCATGCCCGCAATGATGAACATGTGACTGTTTACGAAGAGCTATGCTATAGTAACAATATAGGGGAACTTGGGGATGGGGCAGGGCAAACAAAAAAATAATTAACTAATTAAAATAAATAAATAAAAAGACTTATGAAAACATAGATAGAGAACAATACCAGGAACACCTCTGTAGCCATCTCTTGCTAAGACATGAACCCTGGAAGCCAGGGTTCCTCCCCTCCCTTCTTTTCTCACATCTCTGAGAAAGCTCCAACAGCAAGTGGTTGGCCCTTTATAGCTGTCTCCCTGTGTATGTGTCCTTGGAGTTTCTCTATGTTTAAACAAGCAGATGATGTCATACAACTATTTCTCCCAATTAACTGTTGTTTTTTTCTTTTATAACCTTGGTTATGTGAAGCGAATATAAGAGTTCTTTGTAAAACATACCTGTAACCTAGTATTTTTGCATCATCCATAAAAATGGGAAAAAAGGACCTGCATTAGGAGCTGAGTCCCAGGGACTTGGTATGGCTGTGCAGAAAGTGTTACTGGGGACTTGCCTCATGATTTCTGGAAACCTTGAGGTACAAAACTAGGGCACTCTGGCAGAGTTCTGAAGATTTTGTGCTATTACCCATTTAAAACAACAGTTGATTATGACTTACTATGTAAACAGTTTTCTTTAACAACATATTTAAAAATTGCTAAGATAATCTGTGCTTAGTGCAGGAAGCCTGTGTAAGACGGTCACAGGAGAGCAGGCATTCCTTCCACCCAGAAAGAACATATTTACTCTTCATTGTGTCTCCCCACCTTGATTTCATTTCCGTTTTCTCTTGATTCAGCCCACAGAATCTAATTGCCCAGTCTCAGTCTGGCACTGGAAAGACTGCAGCTTTTGTGCTGGCCATGCTCAGTCGAGTGGAACCAGGAGACAGACACCCCCAGGTGAGTGGAAGCCTGCATCCCTGGCTTGCCTGCCCTGGGAAGAGCTGTACCATTTATGAAGAAGAGGAGGATTAATGAGAGCTCTGATTGTTTGCAACCCTTTAGACTGTGTCTCAGGCAGAGAGCACACCAGTATGCCAGGATCCAGCCTGGTAATGGTTCATCTGGAAGATAATAGTACTAATGGCCTCTCGGACAGTGTTTGCCAAGTGGTTTAGGTGTTACCTTGGGCAGCTGCATCCCATACCTTAGAGTCCTGGCTCCACTTGACTCCAGCTTCATGGTACGCCTTGGGAGGCAGCACATAGCCAGAGTATCTGGTCCCCACCATCCACGTGGCAGGGCCAGATGGGCTCAAAACTCCTGGCTTGGAGCTGGCATGGCCTCAATTGTTGCAGACATTTTGTGAATGAACCAGCAGGCATTTATTTTATCTCTCTCTTCTCAAATAAAGAAAAGAAATTAAACTTAGAAATTAATGCCTTCCAAAAGCCTCTGCCAGGCACAGCTCACTGTTGCAGACTTCATTCTCCTGTTGAAAGGTGTCCTGGCTGGGGAGGTTGGTTCCCTGCATTGTTCACATGGTGCTGATGGCTGGAGAGGCTGCTGTCACTGAACATGTCCTTTGTAATTCCTCTGTCAGTGTCTCTGCCTCTCCCCAACATATGAACTGGCACTTCAAACTGGAAAAGTGATCGAGCAGATGGGCAAATTTTATCCAGAACTAAAGCTTGCTTATGCTGTTCGTGGCAATAAATGTGAGTATCTACCTCAGCACTGAATATGAGGCAGGTGGTTGGGTCTTCCGTTTCAAAGGAGTGATGGCATGTCTTCAACTTAGTTTAGTCTGATCCTAGAGCCAAGCTGCATTTCTTTTAGCTAGTCTGTTGGTAATTTTTTTTATTACCTGCAATATTCATGGCAACAAGGGGAGAGCTTATGGAAAGACAGTTAACTGAAGGCAGTAGCCCTATGAGCAGCGCCAGTTCTGCTAAGAACATTAAGGTACTTTTCAATAACACCTCGGGTGTTCAACTGCATTACTATGTGCACTGTTTTTTTTTTTTAAGAAATTTTATTTTTTAAATAATAATTATATGGTTGATCAGGATAGGAATGATTGAGGTATAGGTAAAATTGGGTGAATTCATTGCTTCCAAATTTGCTATTTCTTCTTCTTGTTCCTGGGGAAGAGGAGAAACAAAGCGGGAAACCACTCACAACTTTCCACATATCATAGTACCCAGGGAAGAGGAACTGCCACCTCATATCAACCCACGGTGCACTTTTGATTATATAATTGATGTGGTTGCTATTGTCATTGTCCTAACATAACATAATATAAGCTGAAACGGTTATAGATCTCTTGCTTCACATAGCAAGCCAAACACTTCTTATACCTGATAGTAATTTAAAGTATAGTCTATTGCTCTTTTGTTAGCAGGCCTTTCCAGTCTTAAAGTAAGATTTAAGTTGTTGGGCCCAGCACCGTGGCCTAGCAGTTAAAGTCCTTGCCTTGAACACACCGGGATCCCATATGGGCGCCGGTTCTAATCCTGGCAGCTCCACTTCCCATCCAGCATCCTGCTTGTGGCCTGGGAAAGCAGTTGAGGACAGCCCAAAGCCTTGGGACCCTGCACCCGTGTGGGAAACCCAGAAGAAGTTCCTGGATCCTGGCTTTGGATTGGCATAGCATCAGCCGTTGTGGTCACTTGGGGAGTGAATCACCAGATGGAAGATCTTCCTCTCTGTCTCTCCTCCTCTCTGTATATCTGACTTCCCAATAAATAAATAAATCTTAAAAAAATTGTAAAAAAAGACTTAAGTTGTTTAAAAGTTCCTCATTGGGATCACAGTGCTTAGTATGGGGATAGAAGTCAGATCCCAGTCTATTAAAGTGAGCTCATTTTTACTGCACATTAATAGCAGACTTCTTTTTTAAAATTTTGTTTATTTATTTTTTAAAAAGACTTATTTTATCAGAAAGGCAGACATACAGAAAGGAGAAGACACAGAGAGGAATATCTCTCGTCCAATGGTTTACTCCCCAAGAGGCTGCAATGACTGGAGCTCAGCCAGTCCAAAGCCAGAAGCCTCTTCTAAGGTCTCCCATGTGGGTACAGGGTCCCAAAGCTTTGGGCCATCCTCCATTGCTTTCCCAGGCCACAAACAAGGAGGATCCCAGTGCGTTCAAGACAAGGACTTTTTAATCGCTACACTATCACGCCAGGTTCTCACTAACTATTTTACAACTTGCTAATACAACTGGGAAAGCATGGGAGGATGGCCAAAGTACTCTGGAACCTTGTACTCACATTGGAGATTGGGGAGAAGGCCCTGGCTCCCAGCGTTGGACCAGCTCAGTTCTGGCCATTGTGGCCTTTGGGAAGTGAACCAATAGATGAAATTTCTCTTTCTCTCTCTCTGATTCTAACACTGAAATAGATCTTTAAGAAAATGAATAAATATAATCTGTTGTGTAATTTTTTATATATAAAACATTGAAAAACAGAAAAAGACTGACCAGGGTGATGGTTTAATGAGCTAATCCTCAGTCTGCAAGTGCTGGCATTATATATTGTCACCAGTTCCTATCCTGGTTACTCTATTTCCCACCAATCCTTGCTAATCTTACTGGGAAAGCAGTGGAGGATGGCCAGAGTCTTGGGTCTTGGGACCTCGCACCCATGGGGGAGACCCAGAAGGAGCTCCTGGCTGCTGAACAGCTTCATTGTGACAGTTGCGGTCATTTGGTGAATCAACCAGGGGATGGAAGATCTTCCTTTTTGTCTCTTTCTCTTTGTAAACTGCAAATCCAATAAAAATAAATATATCTTTAAAAAAAAAAAGGCACATACACACAAAGAGAAAGAGAGATATTTCCTTAACTGGTACATTCCTAAAATAGAAAAACCACAGATGGCACAGGAGCCAGGAAAACAACCCAAACCTATCATGTGGGTTGCAGAAGCCCATTACCTAAATTCATCATCTGCTAACTACCAGAATGCATTAGCAAAGTGGATTACAAGCTTACAGGGACTTCACCCAGGCAAGTTAGCAATAGGTTTTGGATATTATTTAGTTTTCATTTTTACATTATTACAAAAAAGACAAGAATTGTGGGTTTAACTGGATCTACTATTTCTGTTATGTTGTGCGTGAATTTGATTACCAGAACTTTACAACAAGAATTCATCTTGTCTCCACAGTGGAAAGAGGGCAGAAGATCAGTGAGCAGATTGTCATTGGCACCCCAGGGACTGTCCTGGACTGGTGCTCCAAACTCAAGTTCATTGACCCCAAGAAGATCAAGGTGTTTGTTCTGGATGAGGCTGACGTGATGATAGCCACTCAGGGCCACCAGGATCAGAGCATCCGCATCCAGAGGTAGGAGCTGGAAGCAAGGCCAAGGGCAAGGGCACAGCTGAACAGCCACCTCACGTCCCATGACCTGGGACACCTCTTCTTGCTCTCTTGACTCTGGGACTTGGGCATCTGCTTTTTCAGTGCTGACCAAAGTCCCACCCTGGGCTACAAAAGGAGACCTGGGCCTCAGCCCTTGCCCATGTCCTCCCTGGGAAGGCACACCTGCTGTGGCCTCCTGGGGTAAGGCCGCCAAGCTGCAGGCGGTGTTGGTGTTGGCCCTGCCAGGAGACTCGGGGTCACACCAGATGTCTGGGCCTTGGTTGCAGGATGCTGCCCAGGAACTGCCAGATGCTCCTTTTCTCTGCCACCTTTGAAGACTCGGTGTGGAAGTTTGCCCAGAAGGTGGTCCCGGACCCCAATGTGATCAAACTGAAGCGCGAGGAGGAGACACTGGACACCATCAAGCAGTACTACGTCCTGTGCAGCAACAGAGATGAGAAGTTCCAGGCCTTGTGCAACCTGTACGGGGCCATCACCATCGCTCAGGCCATGATCTTCTGCCACGTGAGTAGCAGTAGCAGGGGCCTGCTGGGCTGCCCTGCCCAGTGCCTGGCTGTTTCACCTCAGTGCTGGGGAGAACCCAGCTGCCCAGTGGGAAGTGGAAAGGCAGGCAGGAGTGCTGGATCACCTCTACCTGCCCCAGAGCGTGGTCCCCTTGGGTTGTGCTGACTTCCCAGGGGAGGCTGGTGTGGGGGATGGAATCCTCATCCCACTTTTCAGAGATCACTTGGAAAAACCTCAACTCATCCCCTGAGTAATTTTTTTTTTGTTCTGTATCTGTATTTTAAGATGTATTGATTTTCATTGGAAAGGAAGATTTGTAGAGACATGGAGAGACAGAGAGAGAAAGATCTTCCACCTGCTGGCTCGCTCCCCCCATGGTTGCAGTGTCTGGGACTGAGCCAATCTGAAGCCAAGAGCCAGGAACTTCTTCTGGGTTTCCCACATGGCCGCAGGGTTCCAAGGCTTTGGGCCATCCTCTACTGCTTCCCCAGGCCACAAGCAGGGTGGATAGGAAGTGGAGCAGCTGTGACACAAGCCGGCACTCATATGGCATGCTAGCTATAGCAGGCTGAGGATTAGCCAGTGGAGCCATCACATGCTGCTCCTGCACTGAGCAATTTTTAAGCATTAAGGAGTGTAGACTAGTTTGGGCTCAGTCCACACTCCTGCCAGATGAAAAGCTGAGAGCAATTAATTAGTTTACTCAAAACCAATCACGTGTCTGAAGTTCTGTCCCTGACATTTGAAGCCTGTTGTGCTGAATGGACTAAATCAGCAACACTTTTGTGTGTTTTATATGCCACAGGTCTTTTTGCAAGTATGAACTGACCTATCTGTCTGTCTAGCTATATGTTTTCCACGTGTTTTTAAAAGCAATTGTTTGCACTGCAGACCCGCAAAACAGCCAGCTGGCTGGCAGCAGAGCTCTCAAAAGAAGGCCACCAGGTGGCCCTGCTGAGTGGTGAAATGGTGGTGGAGCAGAGGGCAGCTGTGATTGAGCGCTTCCGAGAAGGCAAAGAGAAGGTTCTGGTGACCACCAATGTGTGTGCCCGTGGTGAGCAGAGATGGCTGTCCTGTCTGTCCAGACCCTGTTAGCCTGAGAAATCTTTGTATGGAGGATGCTCAGGTGCCCCGACCGGTGGGTATGGTTGGCGTGATGTGGCTTTCTCAGAGAGGCTGGATTTTGGGGTGAGAAGCTGCACAGGAGTCCTGCCCTGGTGGGAGGAACCGTGCAGAAGCCTGCACTTCCAGCTGCAGCTCGACAGACCTGGCCTGCTGCAGCTTCTGACTGAGCTGGCAGTTGTATTGCTACCTGCCAAGGCTCCCTTCTTTCTTCCGGCCTCTGCAGTGTGCCTTCTCTGCACATCGCAGAGGCACCTGTCTGAGGCTCCTTCCCTCACCTGGGGTGGGTGTGCCTGGGTCTGAGTGTGGCAGCCCTGACTGTGTTTCTGCCCTGACGCCTGTGTCTCTTCAACCATGCTTTGTGCAGGCATCGACGTTGAGCAGGTGTCTGTCGTCATCAACTTTGATCTTCCCGTGGACAAGGATGGGAACCCGGACAACGAGACCTACCTACACCGGATCGGGCGCACGGGCCGCTTTGGCAAGAGGGGCCTGGCCGTGAACATGGTTGATAGCAAGCACAGCATGAACATCCTGAACCGAATCCAGGAGCATTTCAGTGAGTCCCTGCAGGGTCCTCTGCCTGCATGCCTTTCTCTGGGGTAGGTGGGGCTGGGCGGGGAGGTTTCCCTGTGGCCCCCAGAGAGGCCTCTGCCTAGGCTCTCCTCTGCTTTCCTACCTCTGGGAGGTCCCAGCAGCATATCTGGAGAGTTCAGGGAGCCAAGACCAGGCTGGGTGCCCTGGGGTCAGACTCTGCCCTGGTGAGCAGGGCATGTTCCCCTGTCCTTCCCCTCCCTGTGGGCCTGTCCCTCCTAATCCAACCACCACTACTTCTTCTGCTAAGCCCATCCTCTTCTCTCTGACTCTTCTTTCTCCCCCAGATAAGAAGATAGAAAGATTGGACACAGATGATTTGGATGAGATAGAGAAAATAGCCAACTGAGAAGCTCCACCTGTCCCTGGTGCCTGCCCTTGGCACAGCCCCTGCCTGGGAGACGAGAGCTGTCACACCTGACCTTGATAGTCACCAAGAAGACGGGATGTGATAAGAGAAACTACCTACCTCACTTTAAATTACATTTGGACTTGACAAATTTTGTTCATTGACGATGAGAAATTGAAAAAAAATCTGTATTTTGGAAAATGGTCCTTTTTTAAAAGCCTCAGTTTTCCTCATTCTTACACTAATCATGTTGCTATTGATAATCAGTTGTGGAAGCACCCTCTGCCTGTTTTCAGTAGAAGGGCTCTGTGAAGAAACTGCAGAGAGAGAAATGGTGTGAGAGCCTCACCGTGCATGGATGTGAATCCCACCAGCATGGGGGCCCTGGGGCAGGCAGCAGCGCAGCTCCGGACCTGCACTTCTTCCAACCCGCTATGCCTGTCAGGAGTCAGGACCCAAATGCCATCTTCTGTGTTTCACAAACAGACAACCTGCTGGCCCCTGTTACTTTCATTCTTTAGGAGAAAAGGTCTCCCTGTTTCTCCCTGGTGAACATCTTGGCTACTGTTTTATAACAGATCTGGAGAAAAAAAAACACAGATATCGGTGAATCTTGCTATTCCAACAAGACTGGCAGGGGCTAAGGAATCCTTTGGCCATCTTCTGCTCCTCCTCACTCCAGCACTCCATCAGCCCATGGTCCTGGTCTTTGATCATAGCAAATAAGCGGCACCAGCTAGGTTTATGAACACGTCTGGCCTAGTTCTTATCCATGGGATCACACAGTGACTGCGGCTGAGCAATTACAACCATGTGAGAAGAGTGTGCTGTTCATCTAGACTTCATGGGTTCCTTTAATTCTTACACTGTGTGCAGGAACACAGATGGAGAAATTGTAGCTGTATATGCATCATTCATTTTTAGAAATTTTAGTCATGAGAAATGCTTTACTAATCATGACTTGATTTTATTTCTATTCTTATTAACGTAATATATTATGCTTATCAAAATTTTGTATGTGTATGTGTATATATTTTGTATATTTATAAAAAAGAAATATTCTCTGCTTCTACTCTGGGATGACCACTGCCAGAACTCTGATGAACATTTCCACCAATTCTATTTTTTTTTTCCTTAAAGATGTTATTTATTTATTTGAAATGCAGTGTCAGAGAGAGAGAGAAATATTCCACCCACCGGTTCACTCCTTAATGAAGTGACTATAATGGCATGGGCAAAGCTAGACTGAAGCCAAGAGATTCATCTGGGTTGCCCACATGGGTGCCAGGGGCCCAAACAAAGCCGTCTTCTGCTGTTCCCAGGTCACAAGCTAGGAACTGGATTGGAAACAGAATAGCTTTGGAACATAAAGCTGTCCATATGGAATGTTGAGGCCACACGTAGTAACTTTTCTGGCTACACCACAACAAAAGCCTCCAAAATTTCCTTCTATTTGCATAAACCAGTGCATTTTACAAAAGTATGAATACCCTATTCATTCTTCAGCACCTGAGACACGTGAGCATACCTAGCATTGCTATCTTTCTCACTTGAGGATGGCTGCCATCCCAGCTTGCAGCCTGTCCCAGCACTGGGCAGAGCGTTGGGATGTCCAACCTGTGCTATTACGTACAATGTCACAGTGACACATTTGTTCTTTTAAGCACTGTTGAGAATTGTTCTTGGACATATTCCTGGAAATGTAAATGTAGGGTCAAAAAGCGAATGTTTATTAAGCCTTAAAAACGCTGCCAATTAAGCCCAATTCATGTTGTTGTAGCAATCCAAAAATATCCATTGTCTGCTTGCCAAGTTCAAATTATCAGTTTTTAAAACTTGCTATGTCACTGTCTGTTTATTTTTTCCATTCAGTGATGCCTGGCAAGTGTTCATATCGGATCTTTGTATTTAATGATCTGGTGAGTGGCCGATCCTTGTCAGTCCTGAGGGATTTTCAGGAACTCTAATATTGAAGAGATGAGACTTTGCCATTAGTATATGCTTTTCTAACTTGTCCAACAAACTGTTAGAAAAATTATGGTTGGGCCTGGCGCTGTAGTCTAGTGGCTAAAGTCCTTGCCTTGCACATGCCAAGATCACATATAGGCACGGGCTCTAATCCCAGCGGCCCCACTTCCCATCCAGCTCCCTGCTTGTGGCCTGGGAAAGAAGTTGAGGACAGCCCAAAGCCTTGGGACTCTGCACCCATGTGGGAGACCTGGAAGAGGCTCCAGGCTTTGGATCGGTACAGTCCCAGCCTTTGCAGCTGCTTGGGGAGTGAACCAGCAGTCAGAGATCTTCCTCTGTGTATCTCCTCCTATCAGTATATCTGACTTTCCAATGAAAATAAATCTTTAACAAGAAAAAAAAATAGTGGGTTTGTTTTGTTTTTAAAGATTTATTTTTATTTGAAAGGCAGATTTACAGAGAGAAAGATTTTCCATTTGCTGGTTCATTTCCCAAATGGCCACAGTGGCCAGAACTGAACTGATTTGAAGCCAGGAACTTCTGACACAGGTGCAGGGTTCCAAAGGTGCAGGTTTGTGCCAGGACACAAACTGGTGCCCATATGGGATGATGGCACTTGGAAGTACGTGATTAGACAGTTGAGCCATTGCGGCAGCCCCGAAAAATAGTGTTTTTCTTTTTTTTTTTTTTAAGATTTATTTATTTTTATTGCAAAGTCAGATATACAGAGAGGAAGATGTTCCGTCTGATGATTCACTCCCCAAGTGACTGTAATGGCCAGAGCTGTGCTGATCCAAAGCCAGGATCTCCTCTGCTGTTCCCTGGTGCATTTTTTCTATGCCTGGATCCCATAGTACACTTAGCCATAGCATCCCTTTGCAGGCTTACCACTGATGATCCTGAGAGATTTGTTTGTTTTTGGGAGTATTGGTTAGGTATTTTGTAGGATACCCCACTGCCAGAATTTGGTGTTTTTCCCATGATTAGACCGAGGTTATTGGTTGTGTAAAGTGTCATTCATCACACAACAAAGGTACAGACTGTTTTTAGTTTTGCTTTTTATAAAAAGGTTTATTATCTATCTACTTTAAAGCCAGAGTTACACAGAAGTAGAGACAGAAAATTTTGATTCACTGGTTCATTCTCCAAACAGCCAGAACAGTAAAGGATGGGATAAGTTGGATCTAGGAGTCTAAAATTCCATCCCAGTTTCCCATACAGGAGCAGGGGCCCAAGCTCTTGGGCAGTTTGCTGCTACCTGCCCAGGCACATCAGCAGGAAGCAGGATTGAATGTGAAGCAGCCAAGAGTCAAACTGCCATTCATACTGATATAAATGGTGCTTAACCCACTGTGGCATATCGCTGGCCCTGACTCATCACTGTGGATGCTGGCCTATTTTAGTTTGCATCACCATGACAAATACCTGAGAAAAGCTAGTTACATAGGAATGAGATTTATTATGGCTCAAGATGTCAGGGGGTCTCTGTTTCAGTACTTGACAGGCTCACTGGTTCAGCATCCAGTGACCTTGGGGACTGATGAAGACTTGCAGTGAGTGGGATACAGAGTGAGAGAGGAAGCAGACCTGACTTACATACACATAATTAATCCTCTCATAGGAATTGCCTTTGGAGGGTTTGCCCGCAGTGACCTAAGACCTTGCAGTAGGTCAACCTTTACCTTGGGAATACTATCAGTTCATAACGTTAGGAATGAAATGATCTGTGTTGAGCCAGATCGTGTTCACAAATCCTGCTCTTAACTTCCAAGACCCATGTCCGTCTCACAACAATCACTCCAGCCCTACTAGTTTCAGTCCAACCAAACTACTGAATTCAGTTATTCAATGCAACATTAATTTAAAAATCCCAAGTCATATCTCAAAGCCTCCAGCCATGAGTCTGTAAATATCCAATATACAGTGACAGGGCAGACATGGAGCACATATCCCCATTACAAAAGATGAGGACAGGGAACAGAATTAGAGCAACAGAAGGACAAAACCCAGCAAGGCAAATCATCAAATCTACGGTTTCATGTCTAGCATCTGAGGCACACTGCCTGGGGATGAGCATCCTGGGGCTTAGGCAGCCTTGTCCCTAATGTCTTTGCTGGTCACAGCCCTTGATTCTGATCTCACAGGTTTGAATACTGTCTGGGCAGTCCCACCAGACACTGTCCTGACAGGAGTTATCTCTAGCGGTTACACTCCTGAAATGGGTCTCTGATGGTTTACAATGCTCTTTCATATCATGGAGGCCATCATGCTGCCACACCTCTGCTACTCCCTTCCCATATGACTGCTCTCCAAGGTTTCACACTGATGTGGTATCTCTTCCCAGGGTCACATCACACATAGCTTACAAGCTGTCCTTGGGGAGTGTCTCATACTGCTGAGCTTTCTGTGTCCTAGAAATTTGTGTTTAAATTTCTCAACTGTGGTTTCACTCCCACACTTCCATTAAGCATCACCCCATCAGGGGTTACATCCCTGAAGCACAACACTGTCTGACCTCCTACGGTTTTCATTAAAAAAAAATTTATAAAATACACGTGTAAGGCAGAGACAGTCACATAGTCAGAAGAGAGTTATCTTCTACCTGCTGGTTTTCTCCCCAAATGCTCACACAACACATGGGGCTGTTGGGTTTTCCTTTAAAAATCTCCCTGGAAGCCACCATGACCCCGTAACTCTTGCACTCTGCACACTTGCAAAACTAGCATCCAGTGGGAGACACCAAGATGTACCACCAGCACAAGGTGCACCTGGGCTCTTGAAACACAGCTGCAAGTCCAGATGCTTCACTGGCTGAGCAGAGAAAAGTAAACCCTACCATGGTCTTGGGAAAGCTCTGGGGTCAGGATACTAGTTTCCTGGGAAAATTCTGCCATTCCTGGCCTCTGGGCAGGACAGTCACCCTCAAGATCTCCAGAAGAGCCTTGAGGGCTTTCTCCCATTGTTTCTTAGCTAGTGTTTTCTAGACAACTACATTATCCCATCAGGAACACACTCCTACTCTTTCTTTTCTCCTCTGCTCAAAGTACAAATTTCCCCATGATTCTATCCTGTTACTTTTCATTCCTGATTCTTGGTGGAAAACTTAACAGCAGACAGTAACATCCATGCACTTTGTTGCTCGCCCAACACACAATGTCTCAGAACATACATGTGCACCAATGTCTCAGAACATACATGTGTACGGAAAAGGCCGGTTCTTTGTCACCATGTAACAAGGTGGCCCTTAACCCAATCCCCACAGATGCCTCATTTCCACCTTTAACCTCACTTATACTAGAAGCATCCAGAGCTTCTTATGTGATTTAAACCACTGGAATCCCAAACAACAATGTCTGCAGGCATTCTCTAGCCTGATCCTCTAGACACTTTCAGTGATTTCCAGTAAGCCAATTCCAAATGCTCCTTCGTATGTCCACACAGTTAGTAACACATCTCCCCCCGCCACACACACACACACACACACACACACACACTCATTCATTCTCATTATCTCTCCCCGACCGCTGCCTGCCGGCCCCATTTTCAGCATTAGCTTTTCATCACTCAAACAAAATCTCAGAGAAGCTACTGAAAAAGCAAAGTTGATTTTGGCTCACAGTTTCAGAAGTTCCAAGATCTGCTGGCTGTCACACGTCCAGCTGTCTGTGGAGACCTGAGGATGGCAACGGCAGAATACAGAGGAAGGATCACTTGATGAGTCATGAAATAAAGCAAGAAGACAGCTGGGCCTGACTTGGGCTTATGGTGACCCACCCTAGCAAGGGCACACCGCAGTAACCCAAGGACCTCCCATACTGGAACATGTCTTCACTGTTCCTAAGCCTGGGGCTTAAATTCCTCTAGGAGTTCAAGAAGCAAAGTGCTCACATTGCAGCTACCTTCATCGCCTGGTTGAAGAGGGGATTGCCAGGGTTCTCCCCTACACAGCTACTGCTTTCTCCTTTCCCTTGGAAGGCAGTCACCACGAGCAGAGCACATTGAGCGGGGTGTCACAGATTTTTCTTATGGGCACAGTAGCTACATGTGTAGTCTGGAATCTACCCCTGAGAGGGTTTTGCCTCTACTCCATTATTTAATATATTTGAACACATAGCATAAGTACAGACTGATATTGACACTGATTACTTGGTTAAGGTGATTTTTTATAATTTTCAAAAAATTTAAAAAGTATGCACGCATATACAAACACATACATCTTAACAAAATAGTGAATGCAGAAATAGACTTAGCATGAATACTTTCACAAAGCACCAGGGAAGGATCATATTATGCTAATTGATACTGGGATAATTTCACATTTATTTGAAAAAAAGGAAGAAAATAAATAATTAATTCATGAGAGGAGCAGGCATTATGACACAGTACATCAACCTGCTGCTTATGAAGACCATACCCCGAATCAGAGTGCCTGGTTTGAGTCCTGTCTCCGACTCCAATCCAGTTGCCTGCTAATGTGCTTAAGAGGCCTAGAATAGCCTATGGGAAACCCCAAGTGGGGTTCCTAACTCCTGGCTTCAGCCTGGTCCAGCACTAGCTGTTACAAGCATTTGGAGTTTAAAAGTCTGCCACTCTGGGCCTGGCATAATAGCCAAAAGGCTAAATGCTCACTTTACATGTGCCAGGATTCCATATGGGCACCGGTTCACATTCTTGCTGCTCCATTTCCCATGTAGCTCCCTGCTTGTGGCCTGGGAAAGCAGCTGAGAACAGCCCAAACCCTTGGGACCCTGCACCTGCGTGGGAGACACAGAGAGGTTCTTGGCTTCTGGCTTAGGATCAGCTCAGCTCCGGCCACTGTAGCCACTTGGGGAGTGAACCAATGGACAGAATATCTTCCTCTCTTTCCTTCTCTCTGTAGATCTGACTTTTCAATAAAATGAATCTTTTGAAAAAAAAAGTCTATCACTCTGCCTTTCTTCTTTTTTCTTGTCCTCAAGATTTATTATTAAAGTTACAAAGAGAGGATGGGAAGAAGAGACAGAGCAATAGCTCTTCCATCTAATGGTTCCCTTCCCAAACAGTTATAATGGCCAGAGCTGAGCAGGGAAGCTGGGAGCCCAGAGCCTCCTCTGGTTCTTCCACTTGGATGCAGCATCCCAAGACTTTGGGCCATTCTCTGCTGCCCTCCCAGGTCATCAGCAGTAAGCTGGATCAAAAGTGGAGTGGCCAAGACTAGAACTGGTGGCTGTTTAGGGACATTAGCATCAAAGGTAGATGATTAGCTTGAAATGCCACTGTGCTGATCCCTTGTTTTAAGATTTTAGAGCTTGATGAAATGGCTTGATTGGCTGATCCTTCCTCTTCAAGTGCCATGATACCATGTGGGTGCCAGTTCATGTCCCAGATGCTCTGTTTCCCATCCAGCTCTCTGCTGTGTCCTGGAAGGGCAGAGGAGGCTGGCCCAAGGCCTTGGGACCCTGCACCCGCGTGGGAGACCTGTAAGAAACTCCTGGCTCCTGGTTTCAGATTGGCTCAGCTCCAGCCATTGCAGCCATTTGGGAGCTGAACCAGTGGATGAAGTATCTGTATCTCTCCTTCTCTCTATGAATCTGCCTGTCCAATAATAATGGTAAAATTTAAAAATTTTTTCTTTATTTCTATTGGAAAGGAAGATATATAGAGAGGAAGAGAGACAGAGAGGAAGATCTTCTGTCCAATGTTAACTCCCCAAGCAGCTGTAAAGCCAGAGCTGAGCCAGTCTGAAGTCAGGAGCTTCTTCCAGGTCACCAATGCAGGTGCAGGGTCCTAAGGCTTTGGGCCATCCTCCCTTGACTGCTTTCCCAGGCCACAAGCAGGGAGCTGGATGGGAAGCAGGGCCACCGGGATTAAAGCCAATGACCATATGGGATCCTAACTTGTTCAAGATGTGGACTTAAGCCACTAGGCTATCACACTGGGCCCATAAAAAAAACTTATTTTTATTGCAAAGTCAGATATACATAAAGGATAATAAAAAAAATAATAAAGCAACAACAACAACAACAAAAACAGATTACAGAAAGGAGGAGAGACAGACAGAAAGATCATCCATCTGCTGATTCAATCCTCAAGCAGACTCAACGGCTGGAGCTGTGCCGATCCAAAGGTGAGGACTTCAGTCACTAGACCACTGTGTCGGGGACCTAATAAAATCTTTTGAAAAATGATTTATTCTATTTACTGGTAAGGCAGAGTTAGAGAGAGGGAGAGACAGTGACAGATCTTCTATCTGCTGTTTTACTTCCCAAACAGCAACAGTGGCCATTGTTGCACCAGGCCAAAGCCAGGATCCAGGAACTCTAGGTTACTCACATGGGCGACAGGAGCCCAAGCAGTTGGACCATCCTCTGCTGCTTTTCCAGGTGCATTAGCAGGGAGCTGGATTGGAAGTAGAATAGCTGGAGCTTTAACCAGTGCTTATATGAATTTCTTGCATCACAGGCAGTGGCTTAACACACTAGTTCACAATAGTGTCCCCAGACCCTGAGCTCTTTCTCAAGTGGATTTCATTTCAGGAGCAACCCCCTGAATTAACTCAGGTATATAGCAGGAATCTTCCCTGCAAGCTCTTCCACATACTTTTACTTACTGGAGTAATCTTGAACTTGGAAAGAGAAATGCTGGACCTTTAGGACTTACTACTAGATACTGGCTCTGAGAACTGAAAGCCCACATGGTCCAGCAGTTAGATGGTGCTAACGGTAGCCTGCGTTCTGGTCCAAGATTTCCTCACGGGAAATTCAGTGAGACCACAGCCTAATTTTAAGAGTATTTCTGGGGGCTAGTTTTGTAACATAACTGGTAAATGCTGCCATCCCTTCTGGGGGCTGATTCCTGTTCTGTCTGCTCTGAGGACCAAAGAAGATGACTTACTTTGGTCCCTGAATCCAGGAGCACCTGGCTTCAGCCTGGCCCAGACTCAGCTGTTGCAGTTATTTGGGGAGTGACCTAGTAGATACAATATCTTTCTGTCCTCTCTCTCTGTAATCCTTCTACATAAATAAATAGGTCTTAAAAAAAAAATTTCCTCAGCCCCACAAAGGGAGATAGTTACCAAGCATGGGCCATCGTAAGAGTCTGTCTGTGGTCACCACTTGATACCACTGTCTGGCCTGTTCCTGGATTGTCTCCTCAGGGGCATTATACACATACACAGCCTCCCATGAATGCCATGGAAAGAATGAACATCCTCCTCGTCCTGGGGATGCACAGGATAACTCTCAGCAGCTGTCTCTAAAGATGATCCACTCCACCACTGCTTCCCACCTCTGGATCACAACACCCCAGGCCTATCTTTAGAAGCACTCCAGGCAGAAAGGCCTGTGGCATAGCAGGGTGAAGCTAGAATTGGGGGAAAAGGGAAAACAAAGCCTAGACAACATTCCTAGAGAGACAGAGATGGCTTAGGATATGGCACAATCAGATGTGCTGGAGCCTACTGGAGACCCAAGTCGTTTCAGGAATCCCACTATAGAAGCTGTTGCCACAATTCTTTCCAACTAATTCCTATTTTACAGGGAACTAATGAGGATGAAAAACGTTCACTTGTAACCAAAATACTTGCAGTTCCTCAGATATGTCTTGGAACTTCAGCAGAGTCCAGGAAGGTGTTTGAAAGTTGTATCCCCATCTTTGTGTCCACTCAACATTCTTTATTTTTAAAACCTTTTAAAAGATTTATTTTTATTGGAAAGACAGATTCACAGACAGAAAGATCTTGCATACACTGGTTCACTCCCCAAATGGCCAAAACAGCTGGAGCTGAGCTGAGCTGAAGCCAGGGGATACAGCTTCTTTCAGGTCTCTCCTGCAGGTGCAGGGCCATCCTCTGCTGCTTTTCCCAGGCCACAAGCAGGAAAGTGGAGCAGCCGGGATATGAAGCAGCACCCCACAGGATCCCAGCACTTAGAGGTGAAGGATTAACCAGTTAAGCCATTGCACCTGGCCACTAAAGACCTAGTTTCTATTTTTTATTTGAAAGAGTTACAAAGAGGGTGCGAACTAGTAGAAGAGGGGAAATCTTGCATTTGCTGGATCACTCCTCAAATGGCCCGAGTCAGAACTGGGCCAAGCTGGAGCCAGGAGCTTGGAGCTTCCTCAGAGTCTCTCATGCTAGTGCGGAGGCCAAGCACTTTGGCAGTCTTTGGCTGCTTTCCCAGCAGCACCAGCAGGGTGCTAGACTGACTGGAAGTGGAGCAGCAGGGACTCAAATCAACATCCTTATGGGAAGAGAGCAGGCAGCGGCCTGGCCTGCTACACTCTTCTGTCCATTCTTATCTATCCTAACTTCCCATTTCCCAATACACAGTTTTCACGACAGGACACATTCCATAACAGATGAATGACTCTACAGTGTTGTTGTTGTTCAATTTTAATTCAGAAAGAGAAAGGGAAGGAAAATTTTAAAAAGGTTTAAATAACTATTGCAATAAAGAAGATTGGGTTGGATGCTGGGAACTATTTCTTCCAAAATGAGGGTTAATGATTTAAACAAAAAAAAGGAACCCCCCTCCCCCACCAGAAAAAAATATATATAAGGGGGAAGAAATAAATTATTCTGCTCAATACTGTTTGGCATAATTGCATTGATCTCCTCAACACTGACAACAGTCTCTGAGGCAGCAGTGGCAGGACCCTGGCAAGAATGGCGGGTGCCTCAAATGGCAGAGGGGAAGGCCCTGAGGCGCTCCTGAAGTGGCCCTTGCTGGCCACCCCTGTGTGGCTTTCCCCAGTGGGAACATGGTCAAGCTACCTTCTCCCTTTATTCAATTGCAGGGACCCTCTCTAAGTTCCTCCCCATGGAGGCTGCTTGGTGGTGCCAGTTCACTGAGCAAAACGGGTATTGGTGATGACAGCGCGGGGAAGGGGTGAGGGGAGGAGGGGGGCTTGCAGCGGTTTGAGAGCTTCACAGAAGCCTTTTCTCACCTCCTGAGCGCCCCTGACCTTGAAGGGGGGATTGCCGGCCGCAGCTGGGTCCTATCATGCAAGAAAGTTGCTTTCGGGTGTATCCCAGCCTTTCCAGGGCCGGAAAATGGACACGTGGGGGGACAGGCATGAGGAAGGGGAGATGGGGGTATGGCACGTGGGACTGTTGGGCGCTTTCCCTGGTGGCTGCGGCTACCTGCGGTACTCCAGGTCTCCTGCTCTCCTAGGGGCGCGGGGGAAGGTGGTGGCGGCCCTCCTCAGAACCTGTGTGTGTGTGTGTGTGTGTGTGGCGGTGCGGATGCGGAAGGGCAAATTTTATGATTTCGGTTTGGGTTCCCAGAGCAACAAGTAGGCTGGTGAGGCCCAGGGCCTGAGGAGAGAGACACTAACAGGGTCGCGGGTGAGGTGGAGGGGCCGAGGGCACGAGTGGAGTGTGAAGCACCTTACAAGTGACGCGGCGGGGCTTTCCGGACTCCCACCCTGCCTCTCCAACACTTTCGTGTTTCGCGTCAGAACCGAGGCCAAGTCCACTCCCAAGTCGAAGGGCGAATCCAATGCCCCCCGTTTGGAACCTCAGGACGGCCGGGGGGTGGGGGGGGGGGACGAGGGCCCACGCGCCACCTGGGACCGCATCTCTTTGGTGGGTCTGCACTCACCCATGGCTGCGCCTGACACAGAAAGAAAACGTGCGGGTCTAAGACTCTCCCGGAGAGCCTGCGGCGACCTGGAGGACACTAGCTTTCCTCTCGCAAGGCAGCGCACGCCCGGGCCACCCCCTAGCGGCCGACTCCCTTCCGCTCCGAGCACTCCCGCCGCAGCCCGGCCGGCCAGCCACTGAGACGCGAACCCTGAGGAAAAATACTTCATCAGGGTCCGAAACAACCTCTACCTTTTAAAAAGCGGAAAAGAAAATTCTATCAAAAAGCAAAAGGGACTGGGAAATTAAGCCACCGCCTGCCCGGCTCCAAAGGTCAGTGATTGGAGGAGACGGGAGGGGAAACCAGTGGCGGAAGTTCTTTTGAGCTTCATGATTGGCTGTCAGAATCAAAGGCTCCGCCCAATGACGGCGCTGATTGGTGCAAGGGCCGGGCCCGGCTCACGAGTCTCATGATTGAAGGGAGGACAGGCAGCGCTGGCTGGACTGCAGCATGATAGGCCCAGACCGCGGCCTCTCGTCGCTCCCGATTGCCCGGCAACGCCCAGGGCGGGGCGGGGTGCGCACGCCAAGGCTCGCTCCCTTCTCGCAGGCCTGGAGTCCAGGGCCTGAAGGCGTGGCTGCACCTCACAGAGGAGGCCACGCTGTCAGGGTTGCGGCCGGGCCAGGCTCAGTTGCCTCGGTAGACCTCGATCTTGCTGGCCTTGGCGAGCATGTCGATGATGTGTGCCTCGAAGTCCGCATCGTGCACACCCGTCTTCCGGAACTCGCCCGCGTACCGGTTGTTCTCCCAGTAGTGGTGCCAGTTGCCCCGGCTGTCCGCCCCGAATCCATACACGTTCACCTGGGGGTTAGGGAGAGGGCAGGGTTACCGGGTACCAGGACCATGGAGGGCAGGGCCCTGGGGGCGGAGTTGGAGGAGGGGCTGGGTGCAGGGGACACAGGTGAACGGAACGTGCGGGAAGCCAGGTCCAGCAGAAAGAACCCAGATCCCTTTCCAGTTCCTTGCTTTTTTTTTTTTTTTTTTTTTTTGCAATGGAATACTTGCAGCAGTGAAGGGGGTCTATTGGGAAAAATGGGAGCACTGGAGTAAACACTGCTTTTCCTGCCATGATAGGCTTGACCACTGGTGAAACAGACCTGGTCACTGGTGAAATGTGGGTCTTCACATGAATTATCTGCATTTTGCAGCCCAAGAGTAGGCCAGGGGCTCAGGCTGGTCACTCGGCTGAAGTGGACCATAGTCTTTTCTGCTGTTAGTCTATTCAATGTTTTCATGATGTGACTTCAGATTTGGCAACATCATTAAAGTCCTGGGGTTTGAGCAGTGCAGATGTGCAGGTCACATTGTATAAATAGCAGAAGTCAGAGCCACTTGGCTTCTTGCCTACAAAGACAAGTGGCTCTGAAGGCCCCGCAGAGCCCCGAGTAGGGCTGACCTACCTCGTCACACACATGCAGGGCAAAGAAGAGCACCAGCATCCCTGTGGAAGGGTAGCGTCCGTGGTGCTCTGTCCACCGGTCGTGGATGTACTTGAAGAAGGCTGGGTTGTAGATCTGAACCTGGGGAGAAGAGATAACAGCAACATGAGATTGGAGCCAGGTGCTGAGTAGTCTGTCAGTTCTTCCAGGTAACTGCTCCTCTGGCCTCCACTGGGGTCAGGAATATTAGCACGTGGTGACTCTAGGTTCTGGAAGGTGTACTTGAGCCAAGCACCATCAGGAGGCAGGACCACAGTTTGGACTGAGGTGGGACCGAAAAAAAGAGGAGAAGATGAGGAGCTTACCTTTTCTTTGTCCACTCGAAGGAAGGACTTCACTGGGGCATAGGTGCTGCAAGCAGACAGAAAGATAACTCTTCAGATGGCCCCATGGCACCAAGATACCTCTCACCCCCCTCATGTCTGACTGGTGACAGCCTCACAACTTCCAGACTGATCAGCTTCCAGAATGTTCTCTAATCAATGTCATACCTTCCTTATTCAGAAACCCTCAGTAGATGCCCCATTACAGGATAAAATAGGAAGGTAAGCCAGGAAATTGTAATTTCTATGTTTAAAAAATACGTGCTAACAAGAGTCCAAACAACAGAAACAAGGCAAATGCCCATTGGCAGATGAACAGATAGCAAGATGCGGTCTACACATACTATTCAACCTTTAAAAACAATGATATTCTGACACATACAAACCTTGAGCTCATTATGCTAAATTAAATAAGATATAAAAGTCTAACTATTGTACGATTTCACTTAAACAAAGCACCTAGCATGATCAGATCACGGGCACGGAAAGTATAAGAAGGGTAACTAAAGTTAGGAAGGGGGATTGGGGACACTGTTGAATGGGTATGGTTTCCGTATGGGGTGATGAAAACCTCAGATAGAGCTGACGTTTATAACAATGTGGCTCTATGTGGTGTTGCTCAATTGTATACTTAAAAAATACTTCAGAGTAAACTTTGTATTTGACCACAGACAAACTCTCGGTGAAGAACAGGGGTGGTGATATAACAATGGCTGAGGGACATAGAGGTATCTTTAAAGATCCCTAGAACATGAAAATGTTCTAAAATTAAATGTGGTTTTGGTTATGCCACTCAATAAATATACTCAACACCATGACATGTGAATTATCATCTCAATAAAACGGTTCAAATAACAACAAGAAAAAACTTGGAAGAAAATTCTTGATGAACTGGATTTCCCAGAGTTCCCAGCTATGATGAAGAAACTGTCCCCAAAGAATGTTCTCAAGAGACACAGCTCTATAGTCACAAGTTTCCTCCTGGAGAGGGGACCAAAACCATACTGTCTTTTCCTCACCTTCCTACCACCATTGCATAGGATACCCACACAGAAGTGACACAAGAAGGCTGTATCCTCAGCTCACTCAACATTTTGAGTCCTTCCTTCTCACTAGCACTTTTGACTAAAATGTTCATTATGGGGATTCTGCATCAAGTCCCCAGAAAGGCTCTTCCCAAGGTGGTCCTGCCACTCCCAGCCAGCAGAGAGGCTTACAATCGGATCTGTCCTGTGGACAGGGCGCTGGCAATCCACAGCAAATCCAGGGCCTTGAAGGGTACCAACACAAAGCTGACGTTGGCAGGCAGGTTCTTGGCACTCTCAGGGTACATGAAATGATGGGTGGTTCGGCTGCCAACATCCTGTTCAAAGCCCACAGTTGGTGCCTGATTCATCCTGCAGGGACAAGAGGGTGGCATGAGAATAAAATGCTATGGAAACCAGTAGCAGAGTTTTGCATGACAACTTGGTGCTTATTCATCAAACATGTACATAGGCAATTGCTGTGATACAATACTTGTATTTTCTAGGACCCTGTTCTATAAAGATGGTTGCACAGGTACATAAAAATATGTGTCCGAAGATAATCGCTGAAGTATTAACAATACCAAAAAGCAGAATGAGTCAAACAATAAAGGACTGTTGATACTTTTTACAATATTCATACTGTAGAGTATGATGTAGCCATCAAATGAAGACATACATGTGTTGGTAAAAGTAAAACCAAGGGAGCCTTGTGCAGTAACCTGTGCTAACGTCCTCACCTTGCACGTGCTAGGATCCCATATGGGCACAGGTTCTAATCCTGGTAGTCCCACTTCCTATCCAGCTCCATGCTTGTAGCCTGGGAGGGCAGTCGAGGACAGCCCAAAGCCTTAGGACCCTGCACCCATGTGGGAGACCCAGAAGGGGCTCCTGGCTTCGGATAAACTCAGCGCTAGCCATTGCGGTCACTTGGGGAGTAAATCAATGGACAGAAGATCTTTTTCTCTGTCTTTCCTCCTCTCTATATATCTGATTTTCCAATAAAAGTAAAAATTTTTTTAGACTTACTCCTTTAGGGAGCGAACTAGTGATTGGAAAATCCTTCCTGTATCTGAAAATCTGTCTTTCCAATAAAAATAAATAAATCTGTATATTAAAAAAGTTATTCAGTGAAAAGAAACAAGTTGTGTGAAGTATCCTACTTCTTTTCTTTCTTTAGACAGTTATAGAAAGCAAGCACGAAAGATATCCTCCAACCAGTGGTTCATTCCCAAAATGGATGCTACAGACAGGGCAGGTCCAGGCTAAGTGCAGGAAGCTGGAGGTTTATTCAGGTTTCCCATAGGAGTAGTAGGTGCCGAAGCACTTAGGCCATCTTTCACAGATTTCCTAGGTGCATTAGTAGACAGCCCAACTGGAAGTAGAGCAGTCCGGACACAAACTGGCACCTAACCGGGATGCCAGCATCACAGGTAACCTGGCATGCTGCACAGCTCCCTGCCCTGCCACTTTCTAGTTTCTTAAAGATTTATTCACTTTTATTGGAAAGGCAGATTTACAGAGAGAAGGAGACACAAAGATATTCCATCTGCTGGTTCACTCCTCAAGTGGCCATAACAGCTGGAGCTGAGCTGATCTGAAGCCAGGAGTCAGGACCTTCTTCCAGGTCTCCCATGTGGATGCAGGTTTCCAACTGCTTTCCCACGCCACAAACAGGGAGCTTCCCAGGCCACAAGCAGGGAGTTAAATAATTGTTAACTTTAAGGAAATGGGCTTAGGTAGATTGACTCTTTTTATTATATATGTGAAATTTTTATATGCAAATTAAGTTTACAAGATCTAAAAAGCTTTGGACCAGAAGTGTCTCAGATTTCATTTTAGATTTTAAATATTATCATCTATATAATAAGAGATTTTGGAACTGGGACTCAACTGTAAACATGAAATTCATTTATGCTGTATATACCTTATATGTACAAGCTGCAAGTATTTTTTATAATTTTTTTAGTGTGCTTGTTTTTTTTTTTTAATTTGAAAGTTAGAGATAAAGATTGCAAATCCACTGGTTCACTCCCTAAGTACTCACAACTGGTAGAGCTGGGCCAAGCAGAAGCTAGGAACCAGGCACTCCTCGTGGCCTCATGGTGCATATTAGCAGGAAGTTGGATCTACAGTAGAGATGCTGAGACTCAAACCGGTACTACAGAATGGGATGTGGTTGTCACAAGAGGCAGCTTAACCCCCTGTGCCATAATGTTTGTCCCTGTTTATTTTATTTTGTTTTGAAAAGGAAAAGAACAGCCTTCTATAACTTTAACCTTCTGGCTGTTGTACTCTCTTTCCTAAAAGATCAAAGAAAGAAGTCTGTCTCCTGGGCAGTACAGAAGCCTGCCACCCTTTTACACTCTGTCCCTGTGCTATAAATTCTGTTCCACTAAGGCCAAGAGGTATGCCCTGAGTTCTAACAGTGCCCACCCTCCAAGAGGTGTGCCCTGAGTTCTAACAGTGCCTACCCTCCAAGAGATGTGCCCTGAGTTCTAACAGTGCCCACCCTCCAAGAGGTGTGCCCTGAGTTCTGACAGTGCCTATGCCAGGCTGCATGTGTGGGGACATACAGTGTCCCAAAATCCCAGATGGCAAGTTTAGACTTCCTATCCCAGGGGTCTAACAAGCCACAAAGGCATTCTCTTTCTTCCAATTTGTGCAAAACACAAGCTGAATAAAACCAAAGCTCCTATTTTAAGTCAGTGTCTTCTGAAACATGAGAAATAACTTTTTTTTTAAAAGATTTATTTTTATTATCTTTTTTCATTGGAAAGGCGGATATACAGAGAGGAGAGACAGAGAGGAAGATCCTCCGTCCGATGATTCACTCCCCAAGTGAGCGCAACGGCCGATGCTATGCCGATCCGAAGCCAGGAGCCTCTTCCGTGTCTCCCACGCGGGTGCAGGTTCCCAAAGCTTTGGGCCGTCCTGGACTGCTTTCCCAGGCCACAGGCAGGGAGCTGGAAGGGAAGCGGGGCTGCCGGGATTAGAACCGGTGCCCATATGGGATCCTGGGCGTGCAAGGTGAGGACCTTTAACCACTTGCGCCACCGCGCCGGGCCCGAGAAATAACTTTTTAACACAAAACTGCTATGACTATTAGGAGGCCATTCCTATCCTCCGCAGGCTACCTGTGGAACAGCAATTAGCAAGGTGAGGTGACACGAATCTGGTGCTCCTCCAGTGACACAGAAGAGCGCAATGTCATCAACTGGCTTTCTCTGCCAACTCTGGAATAAAATCAGTAGAAAGTTCCCTGTCTTTCCAGTGGCTGGCGCTATTGAGCTGGGCTGTGTGAAGCTGTATGTGAGGTATGGGCTCCCACACTGACTGCCTGCTGCCCCACACTCAGAGAAGGTGCTGACAAGGATCACAGGATCTGGTGTCCAGGATGTGGGAGGAGTGTGTCCAGGATGCCTCACCCCTGGCAAGTGGACATCGTAATGTTTCCTGCCTCTTTCCCTTCCCTTGATGGGCTAGGCGGGTACCTCAGAGTAGAAGGCCATGGGTCTAGCCAGTGAGTCTTTGTTCTTTCCCACTTCAGCTCTAGCCTGCTTCAAGCAGAGGCCCACAATGTTTTTTGTTTTCTTTCTAAGATTTATTTTTTTATTTTTACCGGAAAGTCAGTTATACAGAGAGGAGGAGAGACAGAGAGCAAGATTTTCCATCCATTGATCTACCCTCCAAGTGGCCACAACAGCAGGAGCTATGCTGATCTGAAGCCAGGAGCAGGAACTTCCTCCAGGTCTCCCACACAAGTGCAAAGTCCCAAGGTTTTGGGTCATCCTTGACTGCTTTCCCAGGCCACAAGCAGGTAGCTGAATGGGAAGTGGGGCTGCCAGGATTAGAACTGGTGCCTATATGGGATCGCAGTGTGTGTGAGGACTTCAGCCACTAGGCTATCATGCTGGGCCTCAGGCCAACAATGTTTTATAGAACTTACTATGCTCTGTCCCCAGGACGAGGACCAAATCTGCTCCCTGCCTCCTTTCTGGGGGCTCAAGGATTCCTTGATCTTTAGGAGGCTCCAGCTCCAGCTCTATACATACTCCAAGAATAGTATGCCTGTTCTTAAAGTGATGTTGGCGGGGAGACTTGGGTTGGGCTGAAGTTAGAGCTGCCAGGGAAACTTCTCTCAGATGCTGGGCTGTGGGAAGGTAAGCAAGATGTGGAAAAGCACTCTCATGAAGATGAACAACAGAGTGGCAAAGTTGGCCCAGCAGATCAAAGGGCTGTGGTGCCCCGAGGCTGGTTTCTCAAGAACTACCATCTGCTTTCTCCACTAAACCAGCAGTCCCAGCCATCACAGCCCCTCCGAAACCAGTCAGCCAAGACATCTCTGCTTGCTTGCTGCAGGCGGCCCCACTGCAGGGTCTGCTCCCCTCTCTCTTCTCTCCTGCTTGCCGGCAAGATGCCAGCTTTCAAGGGTCGGGGCAATGGAGCAAGAAGTCCAAAAAGATGTTTCATAGCCTCCAAGGAAGTGGGAAGGAACGTGGCATTCTTTTGGGAACAAGATTTTGTTTTGAGGCATGATTCATTCTGGAGAAGCGAGTCCTGGAGAGGGGCCAAAGGGTGAGCATGACCTCTGAGCAGGAGAAGGACAGGGGAAGGGAGTAGGAAGATGGTGGCAAAGCATTCCAGAAATCCACCCGCCTCTGCTGCCCCCAGTCAAGAAACTCCTGGGGCAGGAGCAGGGGTAGAGGCAAGGTAGACCTGCACTCTTATGTATGGGGCTGCTTGGTCCGTTTCACTTCTCCTTTTATTTATGGCATGCCTACTATCCCACAGGTGCTTTCTGAGGAGTTGTAGATGGATCTGTTTGCCAGTTGAGGTAGGAACACTGGAATGGTCAGCAAGACTCAGAGGACTTAGAGGAGGAAGAGAATGTGGTGAGCTAGGGGACAGGTGATGGTGCCATCGTCTCACTGGAATGTGTTGGTCTGGCTTCTGGGAAGGTAGGTCTCCCAGCTGCTACTAAACCAAGGTATGAGGCCTGGCGCAGTAGCCTAGCAGCTGAAGTCCTTGCCTTGCACGCGCTTGGATCCTATATAGGCGCCAGTTCTAATCCTGGCGGGCCGGCTTCCCATCAGGCTCCCTGCTTGTGGTTTGGGAAAGTAATCAAGGATGTCCCAAGTCCTTGGGACCCTGCATCGTGTGGGAGACTTAGAAGAGGCTCCAGGCTCCTGGCTCCTGGCTTCAGATTGGCACAGCTCCAGCTGTTGTGGCCACTTGGGGAATGAATCAATGGACAGAAGATCTTCCTCTCTCACTTCCTCTCTGTATATCTTACCTTCCAATAAAAAATAAAATAAATCTAAAATAAGCTATGCCTACAGGCAGAATCATCTCCACTAGCTGCTTACACAGACCTACAGACAGCCAATCTTCACTTGGATCACTGAACCTTTTTCATCAATAGCTTGGGGGTCCACTTCAAAATACCCCATCTTGTGTCCTGGCCCCTGAGAGGGCGTGTTGGTGACCTTCTTCCTGTAGGCAGCCTGACTGGGGACCATTCAGGTGGTCCTAAGCACTCTAGCCTTTTTTCTCACCTGCAGCTTGCCACCTGTGACTGAAGCCCCTAATGACAGCTCCTGCTTGGTGCAAGTGGCCTGGGAGGCAGACACTTCAGGAATATAAGGATGTCTTTCCTGGATTTCCTATCACCCCATAGCTGCACTGGAGTGGTGGATGCCCTGTTCACCAAAATCTCAGCCACCATCTGGGTGAAGAAGGGCCCGTGCCCAGCTTACCGACCATGTGGGGTACCAGCAGTGAAAGGCTGGGGATAACCTCAGGTGGTTCTGAGGTCCTGGATGGGCTTCAACATCCTCCTCTCTCCCTGACCTGCCACTAACTCCCAACATGCAAGGATGTTGAAAGCCTCCGAGACATATTGCTGTGGTGATGTTGCTATGGAGACAGCATCAGTGTCTAAAACAAAGGCCTTCCTTCTGCCTTTTGGGAAACCTGGTCTTTCTACAATGTTCATCCTAACAAAGACTTAAGCAATGAATGGGTGGTTTCCAGGGTATCTGTTCTTAAGTCTATTCCTCCACCAAGGACTGGGCTAGAATAAAATCTACTTGAGTATTTCCTGTCCTCAGCCAAGGAGCCAAGAAGTCAGAAAACAAGGTCAGGAACAGTGCGGCAACAGTGGGTAAAGATGCTGCCTATGGCAGTTTGTATTCCAGCTGCTCCACCTCCAATTCAGCACCTTGCTAACGAGTCTGGGAAAGCGGCAAAGGATAGCCCAAGTGCTTGGGTTCCTGCAGCCAAGCTTAGACCCTGGGAAATTCTAAGCTCCCGGCCCTGGCCTGGCTAGGCCATTGTGGCCATTTAGGGAGTAAATCAGCAGATGGAAGAACTTTCTGTCTCTGTCTCTCTGTAACTCTGCCTTTCACATAAATCAATCGATCTTAAAAAAAAAAAAAATGCCTCTGCCTCCCATGCCTCCCTTGGCACTGTGTTTGGGTGACAAGTCATGCCCAGGCCTGCATTGCTCCTCTGACTCTTCTTTTCCTCGAGGCAAGGCACAGATGTCTTTAGAATGAACGAGCCCCCACATAACCTAAGCCTTATGATACAAGAGGTAGCAGACATCATCCAGAGCAAGTCCTAGTCAGCTCCTTTCTCTGCACAGAATGTCTTGTCTTCTGTGAACCTGCCAGAATCAACTATGCTGTTAGGCAAGATGCTAGTTTAGTTTGAGGCCTTCACTTGTGCACCAACATCTGGGGGGACCAGGTGGAAAAGAAGGGAGTTTTTGCCCAACACTGGCCAGATGTCTAGTTTCAATTATTTTCCAAGGAATTCAGAGCCATGGAAACTGAGTGTGAGCCTTAAGCAGAGTTTAGATTTGGAATTCTACATCTCCACCCCAAACAGACAAGAGAGAAGAGAGCAGTCTGTCTCTGCAGCTCTAGGTGTCAGGGTCCCACCGAACCCCCGATAGCTGGCAACTCAAGCCCTGCCAGGAGAGGCCACAAATGCCAGCTGAGTTTCACAGGGGCTCACCTCATGATGAAGTTGTGTCCGTCCACATCCTGCCCATAGCCGGAGCCCCGCAGGTTGCCCGAGTTCCCCACCACGGCACAGCGCCGGCACTGATGGGGGTCTCGGAAACGGTATGGGTTCTCGCCCGGCACTATCTGGAACAATTTCTCCAGCACCTCGTTGGTGTTATGTGACTTGAATTGGGGCTGCAACATCTGTGGAGGGGAGAGAGAGGAGGGTAGGTGTCTGGCTGCCCTCCCTTCCCCACCCTGCTTTAACTTCCAGTGTTTGGGCAGAGATTCTTGCTGGATAGCAAGAACCCTGTCCACTCGTTTCCAGGTTCCCTGCTAACCCCAGAGCTGCTCTGATGCCCTGGATGGCTCAGGGGCAAGGTGCTATATGGAACACAGTCTCAGGGATATGCAGGCTTGCACCACAGATCAGAGTGACTTCTTGCAGAAACTCTTCCCAACTAGGGAAAAAGCACCTTAGTTGAAGAACGTGCTCCTTGCTTAAATGGCGAGCAGATTCGTTTCCCAAGGCCAGGAGGCCTGTCCAGAGTCCTGCTCTGGCCCCACACTGCCAACACTGAGACTATGAACTTGGGCAAACCCCATGTATTCTCTGAACTTTGTGATTATAACAAAAGACAGAACTCTTAGAGGGCTCCAGGCTGCCTTGTAAATGACCAATGAGGCTTCTGGTGGTCCTGGCTCTGCAGACCCTGCTCTTTGGCGACACTGGAAAGTTCTCTGGAGTGACTCTGATAACTCATCACATGAGCTCACTCTCACAGCTACCTGAGTGTGAGAAAAAGGGGAAGTCAGGCTGTGCTCCATTTGCCAGCTGGGGAGACCAGGGACCATGAGTTGCCTCCCAAGGGCTCGGTAGGAATGCAGGGAGCTTGGGTTAAGCCCTGGCACAGCTCCACCCTTGACACAGGTGGCAACCAGATGGCCCTGCAGAGCCTGGGGAATGACGACTCCCGAGATGACAGGACCAGGTGGAAGGAACGGAAAGAAGCAGAAAGGACTCAGAAGGATGGGGAACCACAGCCAGCTAGGCCCCTGGCCCTTCTCTTACCCCTGGGGTGCTTTACACCAGGAACCGCCTTACCCAAGTCCAGCAACTGTAAAGGATCAAGGGAGTGGCCTTAGTAGTGTTTATAAGTACATGGAGCCAACATTTACAAATTAGGATAGTTACAATAATGACAACAAAAATATGCATTTCTGGGTTCGCTCAGAAGAGTTGGCAGTATGAACTGCATCCCTGTACTACAGCTGGTGTGGCTGCCTTTCCTACTGCCATGGCCCTCATTAGCACCTGCTCTTCTCTCCTATGCTACCTGACTGAGTCTACTCAAGGTTTGACAGGCACTTGAAAATATCAGCTCTCTTCCCTTCTAGACTAACACTCACTCAGCCCTTCCACAATTTGTGACCCTGGTACACGGCTCTGACCAAATGGGTCTTCTGCATTGTCAAGTCCTGGGGCAGTGCAGAGGAGTTGTAAGAAGAGATAGCTGAAAACCAAGAGGAGGCTCTGAGAATGACTCTGACACAGAGGGGCAGAGGAGGAACAACAGCTCTCACCATCCACCACCTTTGGACATCTGGGGGCAGATCCATATTCTCTCGGGTCCAGACAGGGGAAATGTTGCTGTCGAAGTGGCTGTCAAACCAGTCGGAGGTGCCAGCATCACCCATGCAGCGTCGGCAGGCACAGCTCTTGCCCGTGAGCCCCTCTTTGCTGAGGCGCTGTAGGCCAGCATAGCCGGGCACCAGCTTCACCCGGTGAGTCCCTCCCATGGCCCCTGAATCCAGGTAGGGCAGGGTGGCCATGCTGTGGTGAGAATAGGTGAAGAGCAGGGACATGATAAAAACCAGCAGGAAGGCCATGGAGAGGAACCACACCCGCAGGGAGCACTTCATGGTGCCAGCGGGCGAGCAGTTGTCACCGTGGCCACTCCTTTCCCGGCCTTCTGAGGGGCTGGCCACGGCACAGCCTCCTTGTTCTGGCAGCACGTGCAATGGGCATAGGGACACGAGCCTTGGTAGGAGTCCCTTGCCAGACTCTCTCCACTGAAAGGGGGGTATGGTGGGCAGGAGGCGCTCCTCTATCCCTGAGCCACTTGGGCACCTGCTCAGTGCTTCATTAGGTCTCTCAGTCACTAGCTGGGCCACAGAGGCTCTGGCTCTCCTTCTGCCCTGGCCAGGGCAAGGTCAGTCCAACCCAGCCCTCTAGTTCCTTGGGATTGCTGGATGCCAGCTCTAGGCGTCCCTCTCTTTGGCAGCTTGAAATGGCCCAGTCTGGAGCAGCTGGAGTCCTTGTGGCTCATGAGCAGATGCCGAGGTGACCCCTCGTCCCCTGCTGCGGGGAAGTCCGTCAGTTGCAGTCACAACAGGGAGCTCTTGAGCTTCAAGGTGCTTGGATTCCATGCGAAGCGAGAGTCTGCCCTGGACAGCCCTCCTGGTTCAACCCCTCTCCTAGGCAAGAAGATCCAGATAGCAGTCCTTAGTGAAGAAAACCAGCAAGCTCTGTGTGCAGCAGAACGTCCTGCTTCAAAGACCAAGATGCTCTTTGTCTTGGGTTCTTGTTTGCTTCCCATCTGAGGGGCTGGTCCCTCCTCCTGGTGGTCACAAAGCTCCCACTCGCTGCTGTGAGGTCCTCTAGAGCAGAGAACAGCTGCTGCTCAGTGGGGTGCCACATCCAATCCAGGCCACATCAGCCAAGCATGTTCCGAGCTCCCTGCCAGGGCGCAGGCCTCCTTCCTGGGGATGTTGGCCCAGGCTCTGGGGCGGCTGCTCTGCCCATCCCTGCTCCCCTGAGGCCAGCCTGTCCTGCCGTTAGCTCACACTAAGCAGAAATCCCTTGGCAGGTTCCCTCTCACTTGTCAGGCGCCAGGCTGCCGCAGCATGACCCTGAAATTGCAAAGAGAAAGAATGTGCAGATAAATCACACACACAGACACACACACACACACACACAGACACACACACACACACACACACAGGCACTCCCCTAGCTCCACCCCCAGTCCCGCAGGGGACAAAGCTAGCAGTGGAGGAGACGCCCACTTAACTAAAGGGTAGACAAAAGAAAAGGCTTTCCTCCCTGTAACTACCCACAGATAGTATCACTCTTGTAACTCCCTGCCTCACAGGACTCACTCATTACCTAGAAGGTAAACAAGGGGTGTGATAAAGTGATTTCCCCAGAGCCTGGTGTCAAGTCTCTGGAAGGACCAGATTTAGAAAGTTCTAGTCTAGCTATCTGTAAATTTGAGGTGAATCTTTAAGGGTATACATGGCTGGCAGACAGGGAGATGTCAGAGCCTGTGGGAAGCCCTCCCTCTACGAAGGGAAGGCTGGGAGCTGACCCTGGACCTGCCCCTTTTCTGAGTGCAGATCACAGATGAGGCGATTCTGGGTCAGTGCAGTGAACCATTAACAATCCTTCCAGCTCTGGTGCAGCAGAGAGAACCAGACTACTCAGGGACCAGGTTGCTGGGGTGGAAACCACCACCAACCCGCCCTCTGTCTATGTTATGGAGGAAACAAAGTGCAGGCAGTCTGGCCACGCTGACAGCCTGGGGCCCCATGCTGCCCTGGCAGACAAGAACAGGAAGAGGATCCCATTAGGAGGGCAGTTTGGGGAGTCTACCCTAACGAAAGGAGCTTGGATTCATGCCAGCCGCAAGGGAGCCGGAGCAACAGTCAGAAAGCCAGCAGAGTCTCTGAATCTTGTCTCCATCCCCGGGAATCACTTAAACTACATCTTCTCCATATGCAGCCAACTCTGCTCCTTACCTGGCCGGAGTCTGGGTCTCCCTGTCCAACCCCTCCCTATGGAAGGCTCGAGCCAGCCCTTCGGAGACCTCTGGCTGCTGCCACCAGCTGCAGACAAGGTCTCTGAGGCTCTATGTTTGAGAAACCCAGCCGCCCTCTCCAGTGGCAACAGCTCAGATTTCTGGGGCCAGGCCAAAACCACAAAGCCAACAAGGAATGAAACTTGCATGTCGCAATAGTGCGGACATCTCTGTGGGTGGGTAAACGATGCACACTAAACGTGGAACTTGACTCAGGTTATAAGTTTGTGAGTGGAGAGGAAATCTGGCTCAGATCTATCTGGCCTGCAAAACTTGAAATTGACCAACCCATCAAAAGAACTCCGTTAGCTCCTTGAACTGCCCAGAATTAAGGGATGAGATGGAAGGAAAGACAGAAACTGCCTTACCATGGTCCAGAGTACACCACGGGGGCAGGTGCTGTGGCATACAAAGTAAAATCACTGCCTGCAGTGCTGGCATCCCATGTGAGTGCCATTTGAGACCTGGCTGCTTCACTTCTGATCCAGCTCCCTGCTAATGTATTCAAGGAAAGCAGCCAAAGATGGCACTTGCCCCCATATGGGAGACCTGACTTTAGCTTGGCCCAGCCTGAGTCATTGCAGCATTTTGGGGAATGAACCAGTAGTTGAAACCAGATACTCTCTCTGTGACTCTGCCTTAAAAAGGGGGGTGGGAGGCAGCACAGTAGCCTAGCGGTTAACATCTTCACCTTGTATACACCTGGATCCCATAAGGGTGTCATTTCATGTTCCGACAGCCCCACTCCCCACCCAGCTCCCTGCTTGTGGTCTGGGAGGGCAGTCGAGGACAGCTCAAAGCCTTGGAACCGTACAGCCACATCAGGGATGTAGGGGAGACTCCAGACTCCTAGCTTCAGATCAGTGCAGCTCTGGCCATTGCGGCCCCTTGGGGGGGTCAATCAACAGATGGAGGGTCTTCCTCTCTGTCTCTTTTCTTTGTATATCTGGCTTTCCTATAAGAATAAATAAGAAAAAAAAAAAGACACCTCACTCAGGTGCCCAGGTGTCCCACAGAGGCCTCAGCAGCACCAGTGTCCTTCTGTACCCATTTAACAGACTCAGGGCATGACCTCTGGCTGATCAGTCTCAAAACAGCAAGCCAGCTAACTGTCTCTTCCAATTCTTGCTTTGCTCATTTCCATGTCCAATATCTAAGGAGAATAACTGGGTTTTTGCAGAGCCCTGCTCCCAGTTTTCCATGACCTGAGGAAAACTGGCCCTAGGAGGCAGTGAGCTTGCAAGCTGAGCAGGAGCTGCAAGTGAGGTGCCTCACCTGGGAAGACCTGTTCCCTGGGTGAACAGCCCCCTGAGTGGGGGCTGGGAAAGGCTCCCTGGAAAACTTTCTTGCAGGAAACATCTGTTGCAGAACTCACTAGCTCCGTGGGAATTTAAGTCAACACAGGGGCATCTGAGGCAACCAGCCTCCCTTGCCGGGGAGAGGAAAATTCTTAGCTTCGACAACATGCTTAGCAAGAGTAGGGAAAACCCCAAATCCCTGTTTTGAGAACCTCATGTCCAGGTTGTGACTAGGAGCTTAACCTGATCAACTTTGTATTGAGCCAAATGAAGATCCAGAAACTAAGACAGCAGAGGTCCCCAGACATAACATCAAAACCTCAGAGGTGACCCTTACATGGCTCATCTGACCTGTGAATGCACCCCATGACCCTCCACGACGACTCAGGCCTCTCTGGACATGCTCTCTCTCTCTGTAACATTCCAATTTTAGTATATGTGCTGCCGAAGCGAGCACAACGCTCTCTCTCTCTCACACAGCTGCTCTCTCTGATAGTTCATGATAAGCCCACACACATCCCAGTATTAAAAAGTTGAGTAGTGGTTAAAACACTGTATCATATCTTCAAATGCTTGGTTCCTGTTTCAGTTCCTTTATTTATGATCCGAATTCTTGCTCAAGTGCTTGAGACTGCCACCACTGTGGGAGAAACAGCCTGACCCACCTCCAGCATCTGGGTAGAGATGGGAGACCTCTGTCTGTCTCTCAGCCTTTCCTTCAAATAAATATACTTGTTTAAAGTTTAAAAAAGATAAAGCTGAAATTCAACAGTATTGAATATAGTGTTCAATCCTCATCCTAGAAATTCCTACCCCATTGGGACAATCCGTATGTGTGTGTGTGAAGGTTTAAATCAAATATAAGAAAATTTCAAGGCACAGCCTGATGAACTTTCACGTGTGCATAAAGCAGTGTGACTAACCAGTCAAAAAACACGGACTACTTCCATCATCCCAGGAAGTTCTCTTCCTATCTGTCAGAGACCCACCGCTCCACCACTTTTCTTTTTCCTTTTTATCTTTTATTTTTTTAAATGATTTATTTATTTTTATTGCAAAGTCAGATATACAGAGAGGAGGAGAGACAGAGAGAAAGATCTCTCATCCGATGACTCACTCCCCAATTGATCTGGTACTGTGCCGATCTGAAGCCAGGAGCCAGGAACTTCTTCCGGGTCTCCCATGCAGGTGCAGGGTCCCAAACCTTTGGGCCATCCTCAATTGCTTTCCCAGGCCGCAAGCAGGGAGCTGGATGGGAAGTGGGGCCACTGGGATTAGTACCGGCGACCATATGGGATCCTGGCGCGTGCAAGGTGAGGACTTTAGCCACTAGGCCACGGCACCAGGCCCTATCTTTTATTTTCATATTGTTTACATAGTTGGGAGAGGTCCTTGTGGGCCTCTGATTAGGGTGGGGAAGGTCAATATGGGAAGGGAGATGGGTAAGATAAATGTTTCGGTTCTTTCTTTCTTCCTCCTGTGTCCACAGGAGTGTCTGCCACTTTTCTGGCTTGTGTCACCAGAGGTGGAATGCCACGATGTGTGAGCTTCAAGGAGGGTAACTCACACCAGGCCTTGTACGTACCCGCTCCTTTGGCTCAGCCTAGTGCTGTGGAGACGTGTGCCTTGTCTTGTGAATCCTTGCTAGGATATTTGAATTGTTGCCAGTTCTTAGTCATTATCAGTCAAATTGCCACAAATTTCATGTACAAAGTCTTTTTTGTGAACTTAGACTCTCATTTCTCTTGAATAAATGACTAGGAGTGAGACTGCTGGGCTCCAGGGTAGACAGATGCATGCTTATCTTGACTAGAAAGTATCAAATACTTTTCCCAAGTGGATGCAGTATTTTACCTTTCCAGTGATGCAAAGGAGCCCTATTTGCTACATGCCTTTCATCTTTTCAGGCACTCAGAGAGCTAACTGTGTTGTAGCGCACTCTACGTCTGCCATCAGGTACATATGAACACATACATGTAGCAGGAGTCGGGAAGAGAATGAAATAGTGGAAAACTCTATACAACCCAAAGGTACGTCAGAATGAAGTGGATGAAGTATGACACATTTGTGTCCCACAGAAAGAAAAAGGAATGCACTGCAGTTTTAGACACTGGCAGGGATGAATATGACCAAAACAACTATTAGACTGAGCAAGAAGAGCACATATTTTTTAAAAAGACTTGTTTATTTTTATTGCAAAGTCAGATATATACAGAGAGAGGAGAGACAGAGAGAAGTATCTTCCGTCTGATGATTCAATTCCCAAGTGACCACAACGGCTGGTGCTGTGCCGATCCGAAGCCAGGATCCAGGAACCTCTTCCGGGTCTCCCACACGGGTGCAGGGTCCCAAAGCTTTGGGCCGTCCTCCACTGCTTTCCCAGGCCAAAAGCAAGGGGGAGCTGGATGGGAAGTAGAGCTGCCGGGATTAGAACCAGCGCCCATATGGGATCCACGCGTTCAAGGCAAGGACTTTAGCCGCCAGGCCATGCAGCCGGGCCCAACTGTTTGTTTTATTTTAAGATTTATTTATTTTCGGCCCGGCAGCTCCACTTCCCATCCAGCTCCTTGCTTGTGGCCTGGGAAAGCAATTGAGGATGGCCCAAAGGTTTGGGACCCTGCACCTGCATGGGAGACCCGGAAGAAGTTCCTGGATGCTGGCTTCAGATCGGCACAGCATCGGCCGTTGCGCTCACTTGGGGAGTAAATCATCGGATGGAAGATCTTCCTCTCTGTCTCTCCTCCTCTCTGTATATCTGACTTTCCAATAAATAAATAAATCTTTAAAAAAAAAAAAAGCAAAAAAAAAAAAAACCAAACAGTAGTGCCTACTGGTGCACTTAAGGGCCAGGTCTGCTACAGGGTGGGATGGGCTGGGCCACGACACCTGTACGATTGCATAGGCCATAGGACTGGGGACAGAACTGACCAGACAATGAAAATCACCACTGTGTGTGTGTAGTCCGATGGTGGGGAGGAACTGGATTCTATTGGCTGACACATGCAAGAGTCAGATGTGGGGTCACCCTAGCTGTGATATCTTGGGGGACTCCCAAACTAGACCACTGGACTCAAAACTCTAGCCACAGGGAGTATTATAGGAATTGTGTTCTGACTTTGGAATGTGTGTGTCAGGACTGGGCCTCTTTGATTGCTGATGTCTACGCAGCAGACAACATGCTCAGGTGCATCTGGGGGACAAGATGACCAGCTCGTTTGGGCCTGCAGGGGACATCAAATGCCATGAGAGAAGATGGAGAGTAGAATGGGCCGGATAACTCTCCTGGAGGAGCTTTGGCAGGAAATGTCTGTGTGAGTGGATGCAGTTGGGTGAATTCCATCCAATGAACCTTGGAACGACTTTTTTCAACCCTGGAGCAGCAAAACCAACAGCATCTCAGAATTATCAAGCTACTTAAGCAATACCTTTGGAACATTCTTCTCCACATCAGGGAATTTAAGATGACATCAAGTGGACATGCTCCATCGCCGAATACTAATGTAATTTGGCAGCTGAGAGCAGTCCCCTCCTCTCTCCTCACCCCCCTCACCCGTGCTCCCAGAAACAGAAGAAAAGGGAAGAAAAAGAAAACTGGAAGCATTTTTTCCACCCACCTTCCCCCACACCTCGACCCTCCTCACCCTATTCAATGGACCTCATAGGCATGCATCTTGTTATTTATGTAAACACCACTCCAAAAAATTGCGAACCTGAATTTTAGGAAATTCTAAATTTTTCTAAAGATTAAAACAAGTCTTATTAAAGGACTAGTCTGGCTACTGTATATGACCAAAGAGGATCTATGACTATAGCTCAGGGGCTGGCGCTGATGAAAGTGTCAGGAAAATAACTAGGGGATTTACTTGATGGGAGTGGATGCAAGAAGTAGGGTGAGAGAGAGACAGGAAGAGAGGGATTAGGGAGACACAGGCTGCAGCCTGAGCAAGCTGAGGGACAGGGTGCATCCAGAAAAGACCAGCAATGAATGAGTTTGGGTGGAAAAAAACAAGAATTCTGTGTGTGACAGAGTAAACTGAAGATGCCTTTTTGACAGAAGTGGGCCACATCTGTCTGGGACATGAGTGGAGTGAGATCAGAGCTTGAGGGACACAGCTGAGAGTTCCCAGGGCACAGTGCA